ATGTATTTTAAGGATATGTATCTATAAAAAAAAGAAAAAAAGAGTATTTTATATAATGCATATTTTTAGGAGTTAAAATAATACAATTCTTTCCGCATTCCCCTGTCACTTTCTCTAGTGCCTATTAGCTATTACTCTTCTCTACCTTCTCCCTCTCCACACTCATGCCCAACAATCTTTCCCAAATTATCACAAACAAACACACTGCAAAACACCCTTCACTACCCTCACTCTGTTCTTTCCTCTACAACGACACATGGATCCCTCTTGTCGCTTCTTTTCAACCACACGAAATTCATCTCCAAAACCACCTCTCCTTTCTTTATTCACATCCCCAAGAGCGAGTGTCCCCGTCTCAAGCATAGCATAGCTATTCTATCACCATCAATACCAAACCTTTATATTGCCATTCTCAGCAACAAAAACTCCAGACTCTGGGGCATGCACCCTTTTGCGCTGAATCATCCTTTGCAGAAGCTGAAGAACATGACCAACATGCAAAGTCAAACACTGAGAGTGATGATGAATTGCTTGGTATTGCGAAAAGCCTTCAACATATCTCTAAGCACTGCTTCAGCCTTAGCACCCTGCATATGCATGGCATTGATTGCTATCACTCTTCTAGGGGGTAAAATTTGGCATTTAAGACTAAGTTGTTATGTTATATTGCTCTCTTGTTTGGGTTGTACATGGCTTGGATCATTGGTTCCCATGGAAACTTCAGTGGGTTCTGATGCCTTGACACTTACGTAAGCTGTGTGATTGGCCCTCACGTGAACAGCACAATGTATAGTTGATGCATGTAAGGGGAATACTACTTATGCTATTTGCTAGCTTGCTCTCGTCATTTGTTGCCGCTGGCACTTGGTTGCATGCAGTGTAACTAACTAGACTGTTTTAGTCCCATATCTTTTCTAGGCTTCGTATGCATTGATCTAGTTCTGTCACACGTGGGACCATCATAAATGAGTTCTTTTGTCAAGGTTTTTAGTTAAATTACAACAAGAAAATCTTTATCAGGAGTTAGAAGTACATGGATGGGTGCCAAATTTTCGTTTAACAATTCTGGAAGATCTTTCTGGTTTTGGGAGTTTCTTTTTTGTTCTATTCTTCTCTTTCTTATATTGACATGAAGATAATACGTTACTGGTATAGGCAAAAAGCCAGTGGAAAGGGAGGAAGATAAACAACATAAAAGATATAATATAATGCATTAATTAATGCAAAAAAGTGTTTTGTAGTGTTCACTTTCTTGTTCGTTTTGATGAATTAATTTGGTCAATTTTTCCTAAGGTAGTGCGTTGATTTGCGTGCTAATTGAGTGTTCACAACCTTGATATAGTAGACGAAAGGGGAGCTAATAACAAGAGAGCTTTGTAAGTTTTTCTTACGACCATATCGAGATAACTCATACTTAACGTACCCTCCTGGTATCTACTTTTTCGTATGAGTTGGGATTTGAAAGACTAATAAAGACAGTATTTATCTCCTGGCTAAAATTTCAAAGACACGGAAATACGTGTTCCTTTTCCATTATTTTTTTCTTAAACAAATCTAAAATACAATAATACAAGAATTTTTAAGGTTGTTTTTTTAATTAAAAATTTACATCAACAATTTAAGTAATTGTAATCAATATTAATAGCTAATATATATTATCGATATAAATATCTAATGTTAACACTCAATGATTAGTTCTAAAATAAAATAATCATTCGGTGTAGGATTATTGAAAGAATAGATACGTGTATGCTATGCATTTTTCCATGTCAGTCAGGAGTTTCTCTGAGGCTAGCTTTTCTTTCCAGTATAACTAATCTAAGAACATCTTTATTCCAAGAACCCAAGAAAAGTTGAAAACTCGTACTCTAGTAGGTGCAGTAACGGGTGTAGGATTTCTGAGGGTGCTTAAAATGTTAGATCAAAAACTGTGTGAGAGTTTGTGGCTTCTTGGTGGTGTGAAATTACGTTCTTGTGACTTATGAGCAACAAAGAAGATGAACAGAGCTGAACCAGATGACCGCTAGACAGAAACTGCTTTACAATATATTACATGATGGCAATTGGAAACTCCTTTGGCCGAAATTTACGCACAAGAAGCTTAGAACATAATAACATCTGAAAGGATTAGATATTTCAACTTCATTGTAACTTGGTACCAAAATGGGTTACCAACGAAATCATGGGAAAGAGCAACAGCACAGAGGGGAGGTTGGGCTGCCATAACCCTCGAAGCTCGGATTTTGACACAACAAATGTGTGAAAATATAACACACGATAATGTGTTTAATATAAGACACCAAGACATACGCACACTCACAAATTACATCTTTCAAAACAAGGTATATTAATGTTAATGCTTTTCCAACTAATATACTAAGTTATATATATTTTTTTGAAGATTACGAGTCTTAGAAAATAAAACACACACACACAAACTACATTTTTCAAAACAAGGCATATTAACATTTTAAAACTAATATACTAAGTTTTATATTTGTTATGATGAGTCTTAAAAAATAAAGGGGAATTATTTTTTAATATTTTATATTATATTTTAAGTTAATAGTTAAAAAAATATTTTTTTAATAATATTGATGCGTATCTATTTATCTTAAAATATTAATTCAAGTGTTTCAGTCGTAAGGAAATGACAGTTCAAGTGTTTAAAACAAAACATAATTTTTTTATTAAATACTTGACAAGAATACCCAAATAAATGTTTGAGAAGTATAGTTCATAGGTAATAACAATTGCATATAAGAAAAATATAAAAGTTAACCATTAATATTGAGACGTCAGTTGAAACGCACGTCAATATATTTTCTCAAAGGAACCAAAACTCATTACTCATTTATGCTATTAGATCCGTGTAGATCACATCAATACACAAGAATTTCATATTTTGTTTGATCTATAAATAGTTCTCTCTAGCATAATCCTTTCTGTTGTCTACCAAAGATCCTATGTGTCAATAAACAAAATTAAAAAATGGTAAGCCTGCATAGTATCAACCGCAATAGAAGTTGTAAAAGAAAAAACAACGAATATCATGGAGATAACTCTTGCACAGCGGCAAGGCTGGGTTGCCACCCCAAACCCCGATATGATCTTGGCTTTGGAAGAGGCGGCACAAAAGCCTTCTTCGCTTTTATCCCTTTTCTTCTTGAATATCTTGCCAACTTATCCTTGGGAACATGAAAGTCAACTTCCTCTACACCCCTTTGACCTTGAAACACATTCATCTCAGCATTCACTTTCTCTTCCTCTTCCTCTAGCCCTTTTGCCTCTTCGACTTTACCATTGTGAAGGACATTGCCTTCATTGCGAGGTAGAGTTATCTTTGTATCCATCATCTCTTGGCCTGCTACCCCATTTGGCACACTGAGTTTGTCACTCTCTTTGGGTTTGTGTCCACTAGGAGACTTAGTAATGTTTGCTTCCAATGTCTTTTGTGTCACCACCCCATTATGCTCTCTGGTTTTGCCTTGCTGAGTATGTTTACGCCTTAGCTTCTCCACATCTTTACATGAGATTATGACATACTTGTGACCAAGCAACAAACGCTCTTCTGGCCTTAACACTGAGTGATGAGGAGTTTTGAAGACTTCGACCCTTGCAACACACATCCCAGGATACTTTTCCATCAACTTAGATGCTGGAAAAGCATGTTGAAACACCTCTTCTTGTCCACCCTGATGAACTATCCTCACATATAAGTCCTTTGATCGCAAGCTGAAGTTAGGGGATGCCTTGGTTCCTCTCTCCTTGTTCTTTCTTCTTGGAGTTTTGCCAGTGTGCTCCACTAGGCCTAACGAGTGAACAACACGCTTCAGCATAGCCTGCAACTGAAAGTTGAGCAATCCAAATGATCATCCTCGTCTATAGCAGACAATGTTGCCAATGAATGTGCATGAAAAAGTGAAACACTGCCTAAACATTATATAGTAGAATGATTTTTGTTTGTTGTGGCCGGCTGGGTAATTATAAGTTATAACTTGATATTTTCACCCCATAAGGCAGTGATGAAACCGAGGCTTTGCATGTTTGACAACATAGGGTAAGGAGTGGCTTCTTTGCTTTAGTCTTCGAACAAAAATGCTCCTTGAGGAGATAACTATATGAGACAGTATCCACTGTTCCTCAAAATTAACTTCATGGTTTGATGCTGTGCCAGCTTCGCAGGGACATTCTCGTGTTAATAATTTAGTCCCATAAAGCCATAAACCTTCCAAACCTGAGGCTCGAGGCCAGATTCTTCAACCTCATACTGATCCAAACTGTAATGGATAATGAAACACCCTTCACCAAACTGGCTACTTTGACATTTTCTCATGTCATATATAGGTCTAAGGAAGCATCGTTTGAATAAAAAAAAAAAAGGATCCGTCCAAGAAAGATAATGCCAAGATTGTTTCAGGATTATACACATCTATAATCACCATCCAGTTGGACTCGCCACATAATTGTCAAGGAAACTTTGTTGCTTGAATAAGCCTTAATCTCTGCTTGCCTTGTTTGTTGGTTCCTCCGAAATTTTATTATCCTTGTAGAAAGAGTAAAAAATAAAAGAAGATATACCTTTTGGTCAAATTTTCCTATATTTATGCAAAGAAATGAAGATAAAATAGATCTTACATTAAAATAAATAACATATAAAGTAAAATTTTATGTCGTTCATGCTATCCATGTAGTTTTACATCATCAGAAAGAGATGGCGAATTTTAGCTGCAGGTGGAATATTCCATGTATGTATGCACTAAACCTACAAAAATCAGAAAATTACATTTATACTTTTTTATATGCGTCAATGCGTTTTATACATTATTGATAACTTGCATGTAATTTTTTCCGTCAACATGACGTGCATATCATTGTAATGTATATAGCTCAATTCGGTACCCATAAACATATAAACTTGTTTCCTTCAACATGCAATAGCTCTTGCTTAACATTAAGAGTTCCCGATACTTGGAAATAGAAAAAAGTATATGGATTAGAATATTGAAAAGTCAAATTTTATATACTTCAGCATGAGTATGAAGTGCCATCAAACATGGGCAAGTGGCATTCTTCAAATCAAATGTCTTCAAGTGCTAAACATTTAAATTACAGCTATAAAATGAACATTCTATATGGTCACTACAAGGATGACAGAGTACATCTGACTTTTCAGCATCTTGACGATGAAGACCCCCAATTCAACCTAGTTTCATGCTTTTGCATCTGCCTTAGAACCTGATAGTGTGAAATCTTTCTGAAGCCGCCATGCATTTTAAACAAAAACTTGTGCAGCTCCATTCTTTGCGAAGAAGTTTCATCAATTGTTTTGTATAATGCTATAAATACACGAGTCAGCAACAGTAAAAAAAGGTTGCTGTCTCACTTTACTGCCTTTGAAAAGAAGCCACAAGAAAAATAGAATATCTGCTATATGGAAACCCAAATCATGCCACGGCATCAGCTTGTTTTCTAGTTAACCGTGCATATAAACCATCTTTTAAGAGAAGTTCCCTGTGACTTCCAATCTGCATGGACAGAAGTTAATGACAAATATGTTTCAGATTAAGCAATGAAAGAAAAATGAAAAATATAAGTTCTTCATTGAAACACAAAATCCAAACAGTTTAACAGACTAACAGTAATGCCATGGGTTGCTAAAAAAGCCTTATTCTACTCATGTTCTATGAGAGCAATTTGACGTGAATTTTGTCCACACGTTATAGAACCAGATAAAATATGACGACAATTCTTGTCTTCATAATCCTATCCTATGCTATATCCACCATGATCCCGCAGAACTCTGAAGACTGAATTCAATTTCTTTTTAAGAAAAAGAGTTAACACAACTTGCATAGCCTTCTAAACCAACTTTTATGACTGAACTTTACATTGTTTATGAGGCCGTTTAAAAAAAAAAGGCTGATGAAAATATCAAGGATAATAAGCTTCAAAAAGCAATATTGATCAGAATATTTAGGGCATTCAAAATGAATAAACAATTTACTAACCTCAACTACTTGACCACCATCCATCACCACAATCCTGTCAGCTGCCTGTATGGTAGAAAGCCTGTAAAGTAGGTCATCCGTGTCAAAACTAATAGATGGAAAATCACTTAGTTAACACTGATAAACTAAGGTCTAAGTCTCACCTGTGTGCAATGACTATGACACTTCTCCTCGTTGCAGAATCACTTCTAACAGCTCGAAGAACACCCTACATATAATGGAAACTGAAGCATCAATATCTTTTTCTTAATCTTTCTCACACTTGACATTTAGTGTGTCTAATTGCAATCTCGCTTTTAGTAGTTTCCAGAGACAGACCTTGACATTATGTTCACTTTCAGCATCTAGTGCACTAGTGGCTTCATCAAGGATCAATATTTTTGGGTCCCTAAGAATGGCCCTAGCAATAGCAATCCGCTGCTTTTGTCCCCCACTTAACAGATCATCATCAACAACTGTTTTATAACCATGGGGAAGTGCTGAGATAAAGTCATGGGCATAAGCCTGCTTCGCAGCCCACTCAATATCCTCCTGCTTTACATCTCGGGTACATCCATATCTGATGTTTGAACTAATATCCATCCGGAAGAGTTTGGGTTCCTGTACAAACAAATTTTTGGTTAGAAGAAAAAAGCTATCAACTATATATATATTCACTGAATTTTATCCATGATGACTTAAGCACCTGTCCCACATATCCAATTCTCTCTCTCCACCACATGACGTCCAAGTCTTTAAGAGGGATACCATCTATCAAAATCTGCAATAAAACAGTGTTAAGATAATATTCAAGTAAAAAAGTATCTGCTCTAAAAATACTAGCACATAACAGGCTATAGGCTCTACATATATAAATCTGTGAGAGAAACCTCTAATCAGTATCTGCAGTTGAGAAAAGGGTGACTTATGCTTATCATGTTCATATTAGGGAATAGAAAATTAAAATATATTCTACTGAAGTTATTTTCTGGTAAACATAATACAATCAAGAGAAACGTGATAAGTTACCAGTAGGGAATCCAGAATCTAAGGTCTAAGCACCTAGATTAAGAACCAGTATACCTAGCTCTTAGAATAAAGTAAACCAAAAGCCATTTCCTCTCTTTGAATTTCCTGAAAAGTAACTTATTGAAGAGAAGATCGTTGTTTAATCAGGTAGAAAGAATTCCTTTTAGCTGCTTAAATAGATTTAGCAAAAACAAGATAGTCCCCTCCACATACCAAAATAATAATGATAAATAAAATTATTATCTATTTTCTTTCCTAGCCTTTTCTTGCAAATTATATATCTTCTAAGCCAACAATCTGAGTCTACTCTGTTTTAATGAGAGAAACAAACTCTACCTGACCATTTGTAGGCTCATAGAGTCGGAGCAAAAGATTCACCAATGTGCTTTTACCACTTCCACTAAGACCAACCTATGCAGCAAATCAAAAGAAACAGCAGATTAACTTCTTAACCATAGTGAGGGCAGGATAGGAACAAATTGAAGAGACTACAGGCAGTTTCTTACAATTGCAACCACCTCGCTAGGATGGACAACAATGTTTATATGTTGCACTACAGATACCTGTTACAATGTCTCATTAATTGAGCCTGTATAACTGAGAAATGACAGTGGTAATCTTAACACTTTACAGATGGACAATGAAATTGAATATGATTAAAATGCCATGAAAAGAGAGAAGAGGTTTAGATTTCAAAAGTCAAGATAACAATATCCATAATATTGAACCATTCCACTAACTAGAGAAAATCCATTGAAGATACATGCATATACAAGGTATGTATAGCGTGGAAGAATCAGATAAATCCTGAGTTCCTGACACACAAGGATCCAAACCCCCCCACCCTCGCCCCTCTGCAAAAAGGAAAATTACAATTTTATTTTTTTAATGTCCATCTGCGCTCATTGTTTATGTTACTTTTCCAAAAGTGAACATAAGATTAAGATGCTATGTCACTTCACTGCAGATCTGTCACACAACATCCACCTCTAAAAATAGAACAATGCACCCCACACATTGGAAGGGGGTGGACAACCAAAAATATCTGCATTGGAGGTTTTTTATTCCTATCCTTTTGTAGCAGCATTCATTCCTTCACTGACATTACTGAGGAATAAAATGAGTACAGAATATAAATGCTTTAACTCCAGAAGCCAAGTCAAGGTGTTAGAAATAGAGGTGTACCGTTGGTCTTGAAGGATAGTGAAAAGATACATTTAGAAACTCAATGTACCCTGTTAATCTCTGCAACTTTACCCCTGTGAAAAGTTAAACCCAGCCATCAGCATATGTAACATTAAAAGATAGACAAAAAGTTCTGCAGGAATTCATCATGTTTATCACATGATCTTTTCTTTTCGCTTATTTATCTTTTGGTAGAAGAATGAGAATAGACAGAGACACTGGAGTTGCATATTATAGGAGCACCAAGCACACACCAATATGTATTAATACTACACAATTAATAATATATTAAGAGCTGTGCAGGACCATCAATGCAGAAGTCAGCTTTGTCTGACAACCCAGTCTGTTCAGTAAGGATGCTACTCGATGGGATTTTTTAAAAATCGCTATATTGCTTACAACCACTAGTATCAAGTATCATATCAAGTACCTTAGTTTTAAACACAACTATAGTTGGTACTGGTAACATTCTTTACAAGTAAATTATTTAGTTGATGCATAGCTCATTAAATTTTAAGAAAATTATAATTTAGGTCACATAATATGTGGGAAAACATTCATGCTTGATCTAGAAGTAGAATAAGAAGTGAACATGCAGAGTCTTGCCTCTTTCTATGAATTGGTTGCTAGGTGAGAGATCCATTAGGTGGAATACTTTTTCACTAGCTCCAACTGATTGCATCAAATTGGATATATTATCTCCCACCCACCAGGTTGAATAAATTAACCATTCACTGTATAGTATAAACTTAGTAAGTTTCTCCGCTGTAATATGACCCGCAAGAATAGACATTCCTCCAAATAGCACAGCGATAACCTATAAGTATAAATGTTTCAATAAAAGCAGGAGTCAAGTATAAAAGTTTAACTGAAGTTCAGAAGATATTGTTGATCACCAACACTAGCAAACTTACTTCCAACAGTAAAATTACAGGTTTAAAGGAGAAAAAGGAAATACACACACACATATTAAAATTTTAGAAACCCTTAGCCATACCTGAGTTGAATGGTAAAGAATGTTGAAGTTAAAATTCCAAACACCATATGCGGCACTTTGTCGCAAGCTTATGTCAGCTAATTTCCCCAGCCACCATTTATACCTGTAGAAAGTAATGGATACATGTGAAAAGAGAAAAACAATGGGAACAAAACAATAATAAATGATATAATTGTGAAAGCATGATCACCTTCCAAGTTCTTCTTCTTCTGTTCCATAAACTCGAACAGTTCTAATAAGAGAGAATGTCTCTTGAGCTACCTATGATTCAATATTAAGAAAAGTGTAATTACAATTGCATATAGGATATATAAAACAAATTACAGCATAAGGCATTTTATCCTACATCATTTGCAGAAGCAGTCACTTCTTGGATTAACCTAGCTGCCTTTTTCTGGTACCTATGTGTATAACCAAATTAACACCGGTGAGACAATGGAGACAAATAAGGAGAGAGATAGAAGGCTGAAAGGGAACTCAGAAGCATCAGCATTTTCTAGCTTTTTCAGAGTGACATGTTTTCTATAAATGAGAATCATTTAGAGTCTAGTACATGCATTAATTGAGAACAAGTCAACATGATTAGCATAAATCCACATTCTAGTCAATATATTCATCTTCAGACATGCTGCCTGTGGTAGTGTTCCTTTAATTAGCACTAGTCAATTGCAAGCTACTAGAAACTCAATATCTCATTTCTCTTTTTGAAAGGATGACTTCAAAGAAAATCTATCAAGAATTTACCTTCCATAATGTAACATGACTGCTGCTAATATGGAGCATATCATCAATGTACACAAACCAAGTGGCCAAGATAAAATCAACAAGTAGATTAATGAACCTCCACCCTAACAAGATGAGAAAACCCAATTAAAGCCTCCAATGTGTGAGATGACTTTTATTAGTATTGCATCTTTCATAGCTAAATCAACCTGAAGTACGTTGCGCAATATCAAGTTAAGATCATTTCCAATAACCCTTGACACTTGTTGACAATCCGCACCAAGCCTACTGGTCAAATCACCTACTGTTTCATTGTCAAAAAATGATATATCCTACAATAAGAGCACTGCCGAATGAGTGAAATCATACATACACCAGACGAAGGAAATAAACAAATGCAACAAGAGAGATTAGTTATTAAGTGCAGCAAAACCTGAAGAAGAAGGGAAGAGTATAATGTTTCTCTCATTCTCTTAACCTGCACATATTGCAAAGTTTGAAAAATTATATGCAAAACAGAGTTGAAGAAAACACAAAGTCAATTCATTTAAGAAGTGGAGGCTGGAAATGGCCATTGCTCAAGCACAATAGTCTTAGTTTGATAACTACAGTTCTTAATTCATAATGGTCTAGTGTATTTTACATGAACCACTGGAATCCCCATCCACAAATATCAGGCAGAGAAACTCACCAGAATCATGTTCGCAATGCCAAAACAGCAACCTCGTATCCCACTGAAGCACATTAAATCACTTGTTAGGAATCCTCACATCCCACAGCAAGCTTCAAATGAAGCAGAACTAAAAGCATCATACGAAAAACAGTTCAATTTTACTCTACTTAACAAGTCAAACATCAGTTTTATGATCAATCTCAATAAACAACTGTCCTAAGAAATCAGAATCTTACAAGGCATAATGCATTATCTGCAACATCACTCACACACACAAAGGAGAGCCATATGGATTAGAGAGCAAATCCATTGCGTTCTTTATGTAAGGCTCTTTCAGCAACCATAGTTAAGAACCAAAGGGCAAAAAGAATTATATCACTGTCAACAAGTAGAAGGGAGATAAGACCATACAAGATTTTGACCTGCATATTCCCGAAGTCACACACAACAGAACCAACAGGCGCACATTCCGATGGAAAACAGTAAGGTCCGCACCCTGTGCCGAGAATATGGATGCGGTCAAAAAGTGTGGTATGGAAATCTCCGAAACCTGAAATCCACATAATAAAAGCTCTCAACTTCGATCCCATCTTCAAAATACACAAAACGGGCACGAACTGAATCCAAAAATCACAAAGAAAACAAAAAATGAGAACTGCACGCACTGCAGCGACAATCAGAGCAGAGAAAGCAGCGAAAATGACCCATCTGTCACGAGAAACAAGGTCCCACATTTTGTTGAGAGCACTCCACACGGTCACCGGCTGAGCCATGACCTGAACGTCGACGTCGTCGGAGAAGTCCCACCACGTGCCGCCGGGCAAAATAGAAGGAAGCAACTCCACCCACTTGCGAATTCTCTCCATAAACTCAGCAGCATTGAGTTCTCTGGAACCTTCTGGATTTTTCTGAACGGATACTCCATTGATGGACGCGGACTTCGGAGGAGGAGCTGCTAGAATGCGCCTGCAGGGAGGGAATAGAAGGGTTCGCTTTGAAGGAAAAGGAAAGTGCTTTTGCGAGGCTGTGATTAGATGTTTGTTGTTGTGGTGGTGGTGATGGCGAGGAATTGGAGCAAGTGACCAAGTTGGTGTTCCAGCGAGTAGAAGAAGAGGCATGGTAGCAAAAAACGTGGGAAGAGGAAGATGGGATTCGGATAAAGGTAGAAGCTTTAGAGGAGTATGTTGTGGTTGTGGTCCATGCGTGTCAGCACAGGAACAAGAGGGAATGAGATGGTTGCGGTTAAGGTTCTAAGCTGAATATGCTTGGTTCTTCTTATGCGATTGTCTACCACAAAACCATCCCACCAAACGCCACCGTTTTGAATCGTATACGCGACAGTAGTTGTTCACGTTTGATTTAACTATATGCATTATGCACGTGTAAAATTAAGGGTTCTTGGTAACAATTCACTAATTCCATGTAAGAATTGATCTAATCCAGCTCGTAGGATCGGATCTTAGTTTGTAATGGGATTAATATATTAATATTAGAATTTGTTAATATAGTTACTTGTTTGTGTGGTATTTGACAGTCAAAATACGACAGCACTGGGCTATTACCTGGATTATCCATCATGACAATAATTCTGCAACATGTTATGTAATATATAGTTTCAAATGTTTGATAGTCATTAGTCACCTCCATCAAGTAGAATTCAGGAATAAATAACTTGCAGATGAAACCATCGCAAGTCCCTAAGCCGTAAAAGCAACACAAACCCAAGTCCCACACGTTAATGCTGATAGCAGAGGCGTGCACACTGTAATGAAGTTGCTCCACAGCTCCTTCTTGCCCATTCCAAGTTCTTCTATCACTTTGTTCAATTGGGCTGCATTTGCATAGCTTCCATTTACCACTGTCCATCGTCATATTCGTACTTAGGCGCATAACCAAAGACGGAAGATAAGGCCCATTAACAAAAAAGCCCAACTCCAAGTCCAGTTTCATTCCCCAAATTCTATTAAGTCATTTTCTCATAAACACCCCACCACAAAGCCTTAAAACCCCCAAACCCTAGGGGTAAAAACGTAAACCAAACGCAATAAAACCACCAAACCCTTTCTTCTCTCTTCCTGCTTCTGCCGCCGAAACGTAAGAGATGACGACGCGATTCAAGAAGAACAGGAAGAAGCGAGGGCACGTGAGCGCCGGCCACGGCCGCATTGGAAAACACCGGAAGCATCCCGGCGGTAGGGGAAACGCCGGAGGCATGCACCACCACCGGATCCTCTTCGACAAGTACCACCCTGGTTACTTCGGGAAAGTTGGAATGCGGTACTTCCACAAACTCCGCAACAAGTTCTATTGCCCCATCGTCAACATCGATAAGCTGTGGTCTCTGATACCCCAAGAGGTGAAGGATAAGGCCTCCAAGTCCAAGGACACTGCACCCTTAATCGACGTGACGCAACACGGTTACTTCAAGGTTCTCGGGAAGGGTGTTCTTCCCGAAAATCAGCCCCTCGTCGTGAAGGCCAAGCTCATTTCCAAGACCGCCGAGAAGAAGATTAAGGAGGCTGGTGGTGCTGTTGTTCTCACCGCTTAGATTTTATCAGTTTGTGTTTTTTGATAATATATTTGAACTTGAGATGTTTTGGTTTTGATTCGGTTATTTTTTTATATCACATGTTCCATATGTTTTTGGTACTTAGTTTATGAAACTGCTTTTAAGGAGGAACGATTTTTGTGTTATTAGTTTTAATAATTACGCAATGCTTGTTACTCTGTTTCATAGCGTCTGATTGCTGCTATCAAATTATCATTGCTCATTGCGCTGATTCTGAATTTGTGTCATTGTTTTTTAAGACATCGGCACTTCTTGCTCCAACTTATTATGTGTGTGTTTAGATAACATTTGGCTAATGTTAGAGAGAACTAGGAAGAAGATAGAAGTGAGAGATGGGTAAATTTATGATAAAGGAAGATTGATGGAAAATAATAGAGCAGTGGGATGTAGAAGATGTTAAAATGATTCTTTTAGTGATCAGAATTAGTGGCGCATACACTTGTGTCATTTTGTCAGTTGTGGGTAACTCTTCTGAATCCATTTGAGGTGGTGTTTGCATCAGTATTTCTTTAAACATGTATTTTCCTGAAACCGAACCTTGTTTAAACGTTCCTTCCTAGATCGGATTTGGTTCATGCTCTGGATCAGAATGCGTAAGGCTAAAAGAAATGAATAAAACTTGAAAAAGTGCATTATTGTTATAGATGTTTTTAGTACTATTATTCAATTATCAAAAGAACGAATTTTAAATGTACTTTAGGTGCTCATATTGTTGTTTACTGATTAAAATTGTTGTAACATAAAGTTTACATTTAATGTTATGGAAGAATGCTCAGGTTAAGCTTCCAACTTTGATTATCAAAATAGTTGTGAGAACACTTGAGAAAATGTCATTAGAGCTTAGACGGGAAAATGAACAGATTTATGATATTTATTGACAAGAAAAATTTTAAGCGATGCATTCATTTTTTTTATCTATTTATCTGAGGTCTGTAATTAAAATAAGGAAAGGATACGTGGTGTTGGTAAACCATATTTTGACAAATCGGTTTATCGAATATTTGACTTGCAATAGTGAGTTAAAAGAAAACTAAAAGCATAGTGTGACATAATTAAATATTGCAAATCTTTACAAAGGTAAGGTTAAGAGAATAGGAAAAATATTTCGAGATTTTTTTGTAAGATCTAACACCAACAAAAGTTATTAAAAAAACTTAACAAATATGTAACTAAATTATTGCAATTCAAATCAAGAAAGAACAAAGCCAAAGACTGAACTAGGCTCCGGAAATTTATTAAAAGTTAACAAAACGTTTTGATCATTAGATAATGGATGGAAAAAAAAAACAGAAACGAAAAAGAATGGGAAAAGCAACAAATTTAAATAAAAAGCATAAGAAACGAGTTATCTACAAAAAGATTAATTTTGTTCACAAGCCCAAATCGTAATAGGAACAGTAAGAATGCATAAAAATATGCATTATTTAGATGTAAAGAGAAAAGAAAACGATGAAGAAAAAGGGATAAAATAGAAAATTTAATATTTTAATTTTATTATTTGAATTGACAAGAAAAGAATATTCTAATACATTTTTCGAAAGAATTATAGTTGGTAAAACTACTTGTTAAGAATTTGTGGTCTGATTTATTTATTAAAAAGATAAAAAAAATTTAAAATTTTATGTAGCTTTAAAAAATAGATTTTAACTTATTCAAGTGATGTTTTAAACTTAACATATAATTTGTGGTTATTATTATTATTATTATCCTCTTCAAATTTTACACGTATTAGCTTATTTAAAGATCCAGGCCTTTTAATGTAATTTGATGTAAAAAGGTCTAGTTACTTATTTAAAGGTTTTGGTATGAAGAAAGATTACAAATAAATTTATATTAAACCTTAAAATGCTTATATCAAATAAGTAAGTAGATCGAGTTCTAGTATTCTTGGAAAAAAATGGTTTAATCCATTTAAGGCAGATTTGATATGACTTGACCAGTTTTCAACTGTAATCGCTGGTGAAAATTAATAGCTTTTTGAAGCAAGTTGCTTCTAAATCAACCAAAAGACCTTTACTTTTTATAAACTTTTCATTTGGAATATTTTAATCACGATTTAGGGCTGGCTATGAATTGAAAGGCAAATAATCCGCAATAAATGTGCAAATTAATTGACATGACTTGCTTCGCAAACTAGAGACAAAACGTACTACACATCATGTTAACCATTAAACTCATGAGCCGAGCTGCAAATTTTATCTGTTTATGTGAATAGCTTAAGTATATATTTATATTTAAATAATTATAATTTTATTTATATATTATTTATAATTTATATTTATTACAATTTTATTATTATTACTTAAATGTTTGCATTTACATTATTAGTATATTTAAATTTATATATATATATATAATATTAATAAAAATAGTAATTAAATATATAAAATACAACAAAAAATTATTTTTATTTTATAATTTTTTTAAACATATATAATTCAATGGTATAATTATTAAATTGTAGATTGCATTTCAATTACATTATTAAGATGTTTTCATTTCTCATGAACAACAACTTAAAATTAGTCCTGATCAACAACCAAATCATTGGTTAGATCACAAATTGTTCATAATTCCAGTGCCATCGTTTCTTATTACACTGAATCTCGGTTGAACAAATCAAATAAGAAATCAAAAACTGTCGCGGGTTCAATCTTTAATTCAACTTTTGAAACATCACTTACAATTTTAAAAAACTCGTAATTAGAAATAGTCTTAAAATTCATCTTTTTGACACAAATGAACTATTTTTCTTAGGTAAACTAAAAGGATTTGTAACAAGTTCATAAAATATTCTCAAGGAAATAAATATAGCTGTCCTCATATCAAATATCTATAGCATTAGTACCAATCCTCCCACTGCAATTTCATGTTTCTTCTGTGTTTTCTATGTCTTTCCCAGTTGCGCTTCTTGATGTTCACCGCCCCAATTCCTTATCCTATCTTCGGCAAGTGAAGCCTGCGATTTTGTCAATTTTGTCGTATTAGTGTTATTAAATTATTTTTAAAACAAAAGTACATTATACAATTTTTTCAATTAATGAATTTTATAAATTAAAAAATATTTTTGTTATTAATAATAAATATGATATTATCTCAAATAAAATTAGATTAAAATATTATTTAGAAATAAATAAAATATAAAAAGTTGTAATATTTAAAATTAAATTTAAATAATCAATGCAGGAGAAACTAGTGGTTTAATGAAAAAAAAAAAGAGTTCATAAAAATATTTTTATTTAAGAACGAGTATTAAAAATTATCGTGCTAAAGTGGATATATTTTGCTCTCGAAAGCAAAGAACAATTGACTTCAATGTACTGAATACCTCTTTGTTCCAGTTTGTTTTGTAGATTATTACCAAAAGAACACAAGTCTGCAGTATTGTCCCTGCTATCATTCCACTCCAGATTCCCTGAGGAGAAAGGTTAAATGTAACAAAAGATTGTACTAAAAGTCAACAATGATAATGAAGAGCTGTGTATTACTTTCTGAAGAACATGTTAGTTACATTTTACATTTTTCTGTGTGTGGTGTTTTTTTCTTTTTTGGATTCAGGAAAGGGTGGTGAGGGATGATAGAAAAGGATGTGATAATATGTAATAATAATATTTGAACCTTGTTACTCTAATATGTTCCTGTCTAACCTACCCCTTAGTTATAACTGGGACACGAGGGTTATTTCACGGTTTGCCAAGAGGCTCGTTGTGAACACCCACTAATCATGATACAAAAGTAGGAAAAAAATTGGCGTATTTTTAATACTTTTTTTTTTCATTAAATGAATTATCTATTGAACCCTTTAAAAGAAAAGCAGTGAGATTAATAAAAATAGAAACAATATTAAAAGTTATTATTATTATTTTTTAAATTTCTTATTTGTTGTTATTTCATCTAAATACTTAAGTAGTTCATAAAAATAATTTAGCTCTTTTAATGAATATATTTTAGTTATTAGAAGAAGACAAGCCTATCACAGTAATTGGCATAGTTAGTATATTTCTTAAGATATATGCATCATTTTAAACGAAAAGAATTTGAAATGAAGAAATGATAAATGGTAACCCTTATCCTGAAACATGGTTATTCCTTCTAACATCAAAAGTATAAATTGTATAAATATCTGAGAGGAGAATGGCCTACCTTGATTCCAAAGTCAAGCTTGTAACCCAATAGAAGACCCATAGGAATTCCAAATAGGTAGTAGCATCCAATGTTTACATAGGCAACAAGAGCCTGCCATCCCGCCCCAATGGCAACTCCTGCATAGATAAAAAAAAAGAGTGATGCCTGAGTTACCTACGACACTTAAAATGAGTAAAGTGATTGAATGAGAGCGATTGTGGTGCCCCTAAAACAATATAAGCGAGATAAGAATGTTTATTACCAGAGAGAACAGGCTGAACGTTATTAATGACAATGCAGAAGGACAACAATGGCGTGAGGTCCTTGACAAGATCTTTTACTTGTTCGTCGTTTGAAAACAATGAAGGGTACTCATCCCGCGTGATCAGTAAAATCAGAGCCAATACAATACCGATCAAAATTGAAGTAATCACGGCAACCACTAGCGAAAATCTTGCTGTTCTTGGGTGCAGTGCCCCTAGTTCATTAGACACCCTCACACTGCAAAATCTCATTCAAACTTTACATAAACAAACCAACTTGTTTTTCATTGTCATCCTTCGTATTTCTTTTTAAAGGTTTTAGCCATTTGTAGCTATAGGACACTAGTTAAAAAACTAATAAATAATAATTTTTAATATAATACATTACAATAACATATTAAAAACACGAAGTAATTACATTTTGAATGTTTTTATTAAAACATTTACTTTTTATTTCTTAACTAATCTTTCGAAGACATTTGTTAGCATTTTTCAAAATTTTTTGACCTGATATGATGATATTATAAGTAGATTTATATTATTTAATTTAAAATATCTTTATGACACTTTTTAAAATTTATTTCTCTCTTTCATTATTTATCTTGTTTTATATTTTCTTTATTATTTTATTGGTGTAACAAAATACACAAAAGATTGAGCAGATAAAACTTTTAAAAAGTTAAATTATTCCATAAGTCTCTGAATTCTTTAAAAAGCTGTAAATAAGTTTCTATACTTTAAAATTTACAAATAAATTTATAAAATTTTAAAGATTTTAATTGATTCCTTGGGCTTGTTTTGATGGTTCCCTTAGGATTCTATTAAGTACAAACATTTAACATGTATTAATAAATAATTAAATTTGTGACTTGATCTTTTAATTTATTTTTAAAAAATTGTAATTTAATTTTGGCACTTGACAAAAATTTATCAAAATGTAACCAAAGATGTAATAATTTTTTTTTTTAAATTATAACTTTTTGAAATATAGAAACTTATTTATAATTTTACAGGAAGCTGAAAGAGCGATAAAGTTTGTATTGCGGAAGCAAACCTGACAGCAGCGTTCATCCCAAAACATACCGTGATGGTCCAGCCCAATATATTCATGCTGCGATATACAAAACAAAATATTATTTAGTTTTTTTTTTTTTCCTTCAATTTTCTTTCTCGTTAATGGCTACCTAAATTCAATGATGGAGGCTGAGTTTTCTGTATTCTATAAAAATCTCTGCCTTGCTTTAAAACTCTTTGACTAAGTAAATAATTCCTATCACTTTATTTTATTTAATATTTATTCTTAAAATTTGTCAATTTTCACACTGTATAATGTTATTTTATTTCAGAAAAAATATAACATTGAAAGAATTAAATATACTTTCTTATAAAATTTGTTATATTTAAAATTAATCCTTAAAAATGTCAAGATTTAGCTCTTTATAAATTAATAAAGAAAAAAATTAATTTTTATCATTAACCATAGTGTTGAGTCTGTCAATGAAATTCTTATAACTTAACAACGACATGCATGATAAACTTTTATACTAGCCAACACACAATATTAAAATTTATTTTAAAATGGAGGCTTAAAAAAAATTAACCCATGTAAAAGTTATTGTGTTTGAAATTAGTTTTAAAATATTTTATTAAATTTTATTCCAATAAATTAAACAAGTAAAAATTTAATCATTTCCATTATTTTGTTAGTGAAGTGCTGAATTGACAATCAAAATTTTAAGTCAGTACTTCATGTATCAAATACTCAGCGTAACATTACACTAGTTATCAACTCATTATCTTTTTCAATATATAATTATTTTAATCATTAAATCTGTTTTATCATTTTATTTTCAACCACTCATTCTCTACTAATTCATTTTCTCTGCACAACTTATCTTCAGATAATCATAACAAAAGTTCTCATACCAACTAATCAGATTTGGTCATGTATGGACATGGTCATTAGGATTTGAGGTTTGAATTGCTTGTAATAATTAATTGTATAGTAATTAATATAAAAGTATATTGAGTATTTAACACGTTGCAATACTAAATTAAAACTTTGTTAATAAAGTTAGCACTTAACTAATAAACATAAATTAAATATTTATTAGTTAATTTGTTAGGAACTAAATATTAATATTTTTAAAGGATTAATTTCAAGCACAGTAATTTTTATAAGGATTACCTACTCACCAGACAGAGAATGCATCTACGGTGACTTCTGCATTTTCGAGGTATCCAGCAAACAAAACCAGAATCATAAAGTACCATGTTTCCAAACTGCGCACAAGATACATATGAAAAATATAAATATTTTTGCTACATCAAGTAAATATTTCATAATTTTTAGATAAACTAACTAAAATATTTATATTAATACTCACATAATATTTTTCATGATATAGTTTTTTTCTCTATCGCGTTAATTATCTTATTATATTTTTATTTAAATATCGCATATTAATTAAAAATATGATCAGATTATTTCTTTATCAATCTTGATTTTTTTAACTAACCTTATAAATGAATAAAGTTTAATTTATATTAAATATGGTGTATCTTAATATCCAGTCTTGTTAGCTGGTGGGACGTGATTGGCGTTTGTTGTTGGTTCCTTACAAGCACCGGGCACAAAAGAAGTTACAACTTTATCTAATGGTATATGTTAAAAAGTTAAAAATAAAATAAAATATTCAAAATTATTATTCTAAAGTTATAAAAAAAAATTATATTTTTTTAACATTTTTTTACAATGTTTCAAAATATTTAATAACATGTATCGAACATTTTTTTATTATGTATTATTAAACAAACATTTTAAAAAAACCGTCGTAAAATTTCAGTTTTCCCTTATAAAAAATAATGTGCTCCAGTGCAAAGAAACAGGTTCTGACCCATGTATTATTACAAGCATTGATGGATCCGTGAAAGATATATGAAGGGAATAAAAAATATGAAGAAGATAATTTTTTTTATTATAATAGGATTAATATAGTCTTCAGATAAAAAATTGCTCTATTATTTTGATAAGAGAAAGAACTAGGAAGAGATCTCGTTTCAAAACAAGAGCTATCCAAAAGTAAATACTTAATGAAAAAAAAAATTATTTGACCCAACTTTATTAGAAATTAGTTATATTTAATGTTATAAATATGAAATTACTAATTAATTTCAAATTAAATGTTTTTTTAGATTAAATTAATTGTTTAGTCCGATCCAAATTAAGCATTTCGTCCCAAAAGGTAATAATATAGAGTTTTACATTTGACAAGCTGTGGCAAGTTACTCCACGTAAATATAAATGATCTCTAAGTAGCCTTTGAACTTAGTCACTTATTCTACCTTAAAATGAAGCACCATTCCTCTAAAATTACTATTAAAAAACATACACTTTCCATCACTTTTTTGTGTACCTCTTCTTAAAATTGTTATAATTTTTTTTATCACTTTTCTAAATATTTTATTTGAACATTAAATTATTAACACTATATACACTATTATACATAATTTTTTATATTCTTATATATACACAATACACAAATTCAAAACATATGTTAAACTATATATATATAATAGTTTGTATTAAAAATATATTATAAATTACAGTACAATTATATTAAAATTAAAATGAATATTACTAATGCTATTTCATAGTCTATTAACCATATAATATTTTGAAAAACACTTGTTATTGTTACTTTATAATTAATAATGTAATTATGTTAGCATTAATTATTAAAGACAACTATAAAATAAAAATTTCTTATAAAAAATTATTTATTCTATTTTAAAATAATAAATGTTGATTTTATTAAAATAAAATTGTCACTTTTTAATACATAAAATTAGTACAATAAATTATTTTTTTAAAGACTGATGTTATAGGTAGCTACTTCAGTTAGTAGTTAGTAATTATTATATTTTTCATTATTAAATGATCGAGATCTTAGTTTTTAAAAATTAAAAATAATTTTTTTTAAATTTATTAAAAAATACATATATATATATATAAAGAAAGATTTTCTCACATTAGTCTAAATAAAATTTTTATATTTAATTTAATTTTTTTATTTAAATTATATCTTATGGTTAATAAAATAATAAATTATTTATTATTAAACATAAATTAAATGAAAAATTTTAAACATAATCTAGTATAAGAAATCCTTTTTATATATATAGGAAAACGTACATAAAAATGGAAGGTTGTCAGTTCTCACCAAAGCATAACGGCAGAGGCGAGAGAGAGGCGAAAGAAGCCATAGAGATTATGAAAGGCTTCCAGAGAGAACCCACTCCACGCTCGTCCGCACGCGCCACTGAACACGTACGTCAACTGAGCCACCACCACGAACCACCACGAGGCGTTGAGCACAACGGCGGCACCGGGCAATCCCCACCGAAACTTCATAATGAACAACCAACACATGATGGGGTGAAGCAGCATTGCCACCCCCGATATGAGCGCAATGACCATCACCTTACTCTGCGACTGCAGAAACTTGGCCACTGGGAAGTTGAGAGCGTAAGCAAATAGCTGTGGGATCATCCAAATGGCGAAGGTTCCGGCAGCCTCTGATATTTCAGTTGTTTGGCCTAAAAACTTGAGAATGGGTCCTCCGAAGATGTATAGAAGGCATAGAGGAATAGCCATTGACGTGAGTAACACCCATGATCTTTGCATGTATATCCCTAGCATTTCCAGCTTCCCTGCCCCCACTGCTTGCCCACATAGCGTTTCCAACGCGCTTCCCATTCCCAGCTGTTCATAATTCACTTCATATCCAGTTAAAAGCCACCCGTACGCACATATATTGCAATCTACTAATAATGTTATATCTAAACTTGGTTTAGAGAAATTTATCATAAAAATTAAGTAGAAATTTTTCTAAATTAGTCCCTAATTAGTAATTTAGCAATATCTAAAACCTTATTTATAAAAATTATTAAATTATAATAAATCTGTAACTAGATCTTACTTATATTTTTTTTAAAATTTTATTAATCTCAACCTAATAATAATAAAATTTTATTAAAATAAAAAATATTTATTATATTTTTATAATTTTAATATAATAAATATATATATTATAAAAAATTTATTTATAAATATTTAAACTCAGTAAGAAATAATTTATAAAAATATTTTTTAATTTATATTATTTTAGTGTTTCAGCGAGTGAATCAGCGAATCCATATTACAATAAAAACGAGGTATAAACGAGTGAGATGGTCGTAGCGATCAGTATTTAATAAATAATAAGTGTGTGGGGGCCTTCATTAATGATCAGTGATGGAGAGTAGGGGTTTTACCATAATGCCAAAGGAGAATCCAGCGATGAGGGAGTTTTCGACGGAAACAGCGGCGAGTTCGATGGTGCCGACGTGGCCGGCGAAGATTTGAGTGAAAGCACCCAGGGAGTACTTGGAGATGAAGGAGAATATGGCAGGGCCGGCTAGGTACCACAGCTTCTTCGACTCCCTCATGAACTCCCTAAAGAAATCGCCGGGACCGGTAATCGGAGCTATGTCTGGGGCGTCCGCGGTGAAAACTGCGGTGGGTGGTGGGGGTGGGTGGATTTGGTGCGGTTCATCTCTTTCCCTTGAGGTCAGTAATGGCTGCTTAGAGTTCCCATCAGAGTATTTCATTGATCTCTTAAAGAAAGAAAGAGAATGGAGAAAAAGATTTTTGGAAGATAGGTTCAAATTATTCCTACAACGACATTTATCAGACATTGGTAACTGTATATAAAGCCTTGTGGTCATGCATGGTTGGCCACTTTTTAAGATATTTTTTAATTAAAAGTTACCTGAAAAATTTTATGATAATTATATAGTTTTCACAAAATAATAAAATTATATAAATGTTTTTCTAATAATATTTTAAAAAAAATTACATCATAATCGGTTTACTTAATCATAATTATTTAAATATATATGTTCTTTCTGTCTCCCTCATGTTAGAAATATCACATTAACATTTTCAATTGTTTAATATTTTAAAATATGCATTACTTATTTTTTAAATAATATTTTTTTGATTAAAATGGACCTAGATTTCCTATCTTCCATCTCTTAGTTTAAGATCCTCGGGTTTAGTTTTTTAGACATGTTGCTTAAGATTTTGTTTGTTTTTGGCTTTTAAGCTCGTTTAATACAAAAATTGTGATGAAAATGTATTATGTATAACTAAAGCTTTGATTAAAAGTTTGTAAAGGTATCAAGAGAAAAAGAGGAAAAAATAAGAGAGAAGGAAGAAAGTTAAATCTTTCATTTATTTAAATGTTTAATACTGAGAAGAAGGGATGATAAAAAAGTTTAATTATATAAATAATTTTAAAATTAATATTTTTATTTTTAAATTTTTTTCAAAAAATATTACTTAAAAAATTAACATACTTTTTAAAAAAAATTTAAAATCTTATTTATAAAAGAGTGGGAGAGAAAACTCCCAAAATAAAGAAACTTAAAAAATAAGTTTTTAAAAGATTTAGAAAAATCTTCAAAACTTTACTTTGTTAATTAAGCAAAATAAAATTTATAAATAAAATAATAATATTATATTAATATAATTTTTATATTTTTAATTTTATTAATATTAATATTTAATTAATTATTTATTATATTAATATATTATGTTTAATTTTTTTCTTTATAATAAATATAAATTATTTAACTATAAATTATATTTTATTCGAAACCAAAATTATATAAAAAAATAATAGAAAAACAAAATAAAAAAATTAATATACTATATATATATATAATAGAACTATATAGTAAATAATATAAATAATATAATTTTAAATAATTTATATATAATAATATATACTTTTTATAACTTATTATGTATTTTATTTTTATTAGTATAAATTTTTCTAGTAAAATACCTTTAAAAAAAATTTTAAATAGCAAATCTACATAATCACACACCTAAATATAAGTATATCAAATCTTAAATAATCATTTTTAATAAATTTAACATTGATGTAGATAGATTTTTTCATAAAAAAATATAATTATTAATATACATTTAAAATATAATAATTAATGAATATTTATATAAATAAACAAAGTATAAATAAAAAATAATAATATGTAAATATATGTTTTAATATATTATATCAGTAATATTTTCTATATTATATTAATATTATAGTGTAGTTAATTTTATGTATATTTATTAATTTAAAATAAAAACTTAATAAAAAACTAAAATTAAATATTTTATAATTATTTTTTTATTTAATAGTTATTATTATTGTCATATTATATATATATATATATATATATATATATATATATATAGTGTATTGAGTTTAAATTTTTATATCAAGTTTTATCATATAATTTTTTATTAAAATAAAAATTTAAAAATATAAATTATTTTAATTTTATTTTTACTATGGTCATATGTTATTTTTTTATATCTATAAATTTTATAATATAAATATTTTTACTATGGTCATATGTTATTTTTCTATATCTATAAATTTTATAATATAAATATTTTTATCTACAATTTTTATAACGATGATATTTATTTAATTTTTTAAATATAATAATTTTTTAGCTCATTCAACAAATTTTGTAAGTGTTATTTTTTGTGATCAATTTTATGTATTTACTGTGATTTTATTTATTGAATATAAGATGTCTTTACACAAATAAAATATAATTATCATAAAAAATAATTAAAATATTTATTGCTTTAATAATTTTATAAAATTAAATTAAGAAAAAAATATATAATTTTTTAATATGAAACATTTATAAATGCTCAAATAATATTTTAAAATTATATAAAAATTATTACAATTATTTAATAATTATCAATAACACATAAAAATTAAAAAAATATGTAAACTAATTTGATAATAAAATATTTATATTTTTATTAATATTAAGATATTTTTTTATCACAGACTTTATTAACAGACTTTAAGTTAGGTCAGACCACCTAAATAAATCAGATCAGACTCAACATAAGGTAATAGGCTAGGCTCAAGCCTAATAATTATGTTACAGGTCAGACCTATTTAGAATAAAGTCTAATTTAACCTGACATATTATCATTCCTATTTCTAAGTATAACCTAAAAATTATTATTATTTTAACACATATTTAAAACAAAAAGAAATTATTTATTTTATTTTGAAGTGTGTTTTTAAAATACATAATGTAATAAAATAAGTTATAATGTAAAGATCGTTATACATTAAATCATATGCAATATTCTTTTCTTATATCCAAATAAACTAAGAGAACAACAAAGCTAATTAATATCGATCAAACAAAGATATTTCAGTTACTGATCAGCTTTAATTCTTTAAATTTTATAGCATTCTTCAATCGTGTATGATTCATATGACGTTGATTATTATATCTATGAGTTGTTCTTAAATATTATCCCATGTGAGATGCTTACTAATTGGTCGTCATTGGACAAATATATACTATTTTTTCCTTTGCTTTTTGGTTATAGACACAAAGAAGCAAAAGGAAAATTTATCTGGGGATTGTGAAACTTCGAAGACAAATTTCCAGGATCTCTAAGCTTGGTTGTCGAAGCCTCATCAGTGCAATAGTTTAAATGAAAAATAATAATAATAAAAAAAAAAAAAACTCATTGATTGATTAGGGAATTATTGGAATTTGGAAGAATTCAAAAGTACATACGCAGTTTAAAGATTATCATACTTCATAGTAAGCTTGAAACATGCAAGTAATTAAGCTCATTGACATTTTGTACGAAACAAATACAAACAGAAAAGTAAAAAAATAATTATATTGAATATTTTTTTGATTTTCAGTAATAAAATATGAGGCGTTAAAAAAGGAAATATATTAGGGAGGAAAATATAACTATTTTTTTTTACAAATAATTAAATTAAATATTTTCTGCCGTTATTTTCTGTCTTCAGGGCCATTTTAGATTATGAGAGGATCCAAATCTTATTATATACACAAGAAATGAATATTTTTTTTTTCTCTAATCTAGTAATTAATAATTTTTTTTATCATTTTTAAAATTTTACTTAGTGTGTATTTGAGATTAAGGGTGTAAATGAACTGTGTTATTGGTGAATTATTTGAGATTCAGTCAATTTATTTATGCTTACCTAAATCTATTTATTTAATTAAATAAATAAATTTAAACTTAATTTATGTTTGATTATTTAAAAATAAATATAATAAAATATTATTTATTATTAATTAAATTTTATTAAAAATTTAAAAAAAATATTGTATTTAATCTCAATCTTCATTAATTCTAAAAATGCATAATTCAGCTATATTTTAGTTAAATTACGTATTTAATATATATAGTTAATAAATATTTACAAATTAGATCTTATACTTAAAAAATTTGTATTTAGTTTCTATACAAGTTATTTTTAACATTCTAGTCCTTCTAGTTAATGTTTGTGTCTTTACAGTCATAATAATATTAATAATAAAAGAGATTAAATTATAATAAAATATTTATACGTAGATTAAAACATTAATTATTTTAAGTAAAGTGACTAACATTTAAGTTTTTATAAAATATAAAAATTAATTTATAAATGTGTCAAATATAGAAACTAAATATATTTTAATTTATTATAATTTTAAAGAAGTTGTACAATTTAAATTTACGTATCTTAATTAAATATTTATGCAAATTTTGTAAGATCAAACATTCAATTAAGCTTTTTTTTTTTATATAATACAATTTTTTTAATATAAATTTTTAGTATTTTTAAAATTTATAATTTTTTTAGTTAGTAGTTTATTTTATATTTTTAAGACAAATTAATAATTTTTTAAAAAAGTTTAGTTAAACAATATTTTTAATTCTTATAAATAATATTATTTATGAATTATTTTTTATATTTAAAAAATATATTTTAATTATTGTATAAACACTTTATTATATTTTAATTTTTATTATAATAATATCATTAACATTATTAATGATAAGGATTAAAATGTAATAAAATAATTATATAAAAAATGTATTTTTTTCGAATACAAAGACAATTTTATAAAGGAGTGTAAATTATAAAAATTATGTATATAATTTAACTTTATATTTTTATTATAATAAAAAATTTATTTTTATTTTTTTCTTCTCGTATCATACAAATCGCACATCCCAATATAACAAATAAAAAACGAAGGTAACTATTAAAAAAAAAAAAACAATTGATGATGTGATGCGTACCCATCTTTTCTTAAAATAAAAGTTGTTCTCCAATATTTTATCCTTTATTAGGATGAACATAAAGTAAGAGGATAAAAAATTGAAATTTAAATGGAAAAAAGGAATTTTTTTTCTATGTTAACTTTATTATGTTTCTTTCAATAATTAAAAAGAAAAACATTGTTATTCATATTCTTTGTCTTTTTTTCTCTTCTGAAAAAATAAAACATAACTTATTAGGTGTAAAAGAGCCTTTCCACTTATATGATTTGTACGTAAAATTTCATTGCACGTACTTGAATTATCAACGCTATAACAATTTATAAATATTTTAGTTTGTTTGGATAAAATTATCAAAATAATTTTTTATTTTTGATAGCCATATAAGTTGTTGTTATCATTTTTTTACAAGAGGGATCGGTTTGGATTAGTAAAAGATCTAGCATTCTTATTATATTTTTTTAATGAATTTATATAAAACATTATTTTTAGTAATATATTCATTGAAATATAATTATGTATTATTTTAATTATTTTTATTTTATTTTGTAAAAGTTAAACATAAATAAATCAAGTTAAATTTATATTTCTAAAATTTAAATATATATAGTCCAATCCTAATTTCTCATGCATCAAATGTTATTTTTACGTACAAGGAACTAGGATTTAAACAATAAAGTGATTTTAAGTACAAAATGTTATCTCACTCAAGAATAACGACTCCTTCATTATATAAATCTGTATTGTATGCTTTAAAATATAACTAGTTAAGTATTTTGATTTTAAGTACAATAAAAAATATTGATTTATGTATTATAATTGATTGAATGTAAACAAATTTACAATAATAGATAAAATTATACTCATAAAATATATCAATAATGTTATTATTTTTATTATTACTATATTTAAGTTTTTCTTATCATATTTTAAGATTATATTTATAAATATATTTAATTAAAAACTTAAGTCTAATGTATATTTAGTGATAAATTTTGTTATTTTATTTAAAAACTTCACTACAAACTAGACTTTTAAATATACTTTCAAGTTTTAATAAAATAATTATGTCTCATAAATAAGTTAGATTCAAGTATCATCAAATTTATGAAATTAGTTCAGTCCATTTAATTAAAACCAAACCTGACCTAATTCAATAATATTTTTTCCTGTCCAATATATATATATATAGAGAGAGAGAGCTTATCTTACAATTAAATAAATGCTAAGTACTATGATGTTTCTTTATCATTTCTCAATCTCGTTCACCTCAGAATCTTTATACCCGCCCCACTTCTTTATCCTAGCTTCAGCAAGAGAGGCCTGCCATTAACACCCAATATTGAGCAATGAGCATCATTCTTACTAGATTTATATGAAAAAACAAAAACAAAACATTACCTCTGTATTCCAGTTGGTTCTGTAGATCATGAAGAGTAGCACACAAGTTTGTACAACGGTACCTGACATCATTCCAGACCAGATCCCCTGAAAATCATCAACCACACCAAAGCTATGATTAATTTAAAGATTTCTTGATAAGAACATGGTTAATTTATAATTTGTATTAGAATTACAATAAATATGCCATAAATTTTTTTTTAGTATAGAGATTTTACTAAGATATATATTGACAGAATGTGATATATATATATATATATATATATATATATATGATTAAATTATATTGGTGTAATTAAATTTATTCTTACACCGTTTAATAATTTTTTTAATAATTTAATTTTAAAATCAACAGTTGAATTGAAATTTAAGATTAATTTAAAAATATTTAATACTTTATTTATATATATTAAATTAAATTTAATTCTAAAATTAATAGTTAAATTAAAATTTGAATTTCAAAATATTTAATACTTTATTCATATACATTAAAATGAATATAATATATAATGAAAATTTATGAAAATAATTTTTTTTAATAACAATCTTATAAATGTTTAGTTTTGATAAAATTTGACACATATAATCTAAGTAATATATAATTAATTTGGATATAATTATATATATTGAAGTGTAATGAAATAATGGAAGAAAAGATAAATATAATAATAAAATTAACTCACCATGACGCCCAAGTCAAACTTGAAACCCAGAATAAGGCCGAGAGGAACACCAAATAGGTAGTAACAAGCAATGTTTATATACGCAACAGCAATCTGCCACCCTGCCCCAATGGCAACCCCTGAAAGCACTGGTTGCACACTGTTGATGAGAATACACAAAGCTAGCATAGGTGTGAGTTCCACTACTAATTTTTTGACTTGTGAACTGGTTGAAAACAAGGAAGGATACTGATTCCGGAATATGATCAGAATTAGGGAGAGCAATAGACCAATCACAGTGGAAGTAGTCACAGCAACCACTAGTGAAAATTTTGCATTTCTTGGGTGACCTGCCCCCAGTTCATTCGACACTCTCACACTGCATAGTTTTAGGACTCAAATTGAGCATAAATTAAATATTCTTCTATTCTTTGTTGAGCAATGTTAATTGTTCATGCACAAGAATTTTCAAATGAAGTTGGGGTATAATAATATCAAACCTTACGCCTGCGTTCAATCCGAAGGCTATCATGACTGCCAACCCCAGTATGTTCATGCTGCAAATTCAATATCAGAATTAAATGGGGCTCATCATTGTTGACCAAACTTTAAACGATTAATGGGAGAAAAAGCGTAATTAATTTGGTTGTTCATCTAGCAAAGTTGTCACGTTAGTTTTTTTTCTTTTCTTATAATACATTTTTCTCAATTTATTTTACGGAATTGATATTTCTCTCCGTATACACTCATATGCATGCCTATACACACAGATACATGCATTTGATAGAGAGGAGATCAATTTATACTATTCCAAATTATATCAAGTCTTATATAAACTCAAAGTTTTTATTATATGAATTATATATGCAAAATTTTAATTTATAAATATATCACATATATGTATATTAAAATTAATGTAATATACATGTTTCAAATATATCAAAATAAGAATGATCTAATTATCTTTTAATGTGTTTAACTTTACAAACTTTTACACAAATAATCTCAAGACCATATAATTATAATATAATATTTACATCAATAAAATCACAATCTATATAAAATTATTAATAATAAAAAATTGTATGTAATATACAAATTATTAAATAATTTATTATTTTAATTTTATTTATTTACAAGTAAATATAATATTTAAGATTTATTCTCTATGATCACGATAAAAAAAATATATGATATGGTCTATGTTATAAAAATTATTAATTGAACAAAAAAATCTGTAGTGCTTCTTGAATGATATAAAAATAAATATAACTTATATTAATGTAAATTAATCCTTTTTTAACGATGAATTTGGTTGTTTGTCATTGTCCAAATTAGACCCAGGATCAGTGTCTGCCGTCCATTTGCTTTTTTGGAATTGAGTGCCACCATGGTGGGCTACACTGTCATCTTCAATGGACGAGACCATTACTAATCAGAGCGAGAGAAATAATGAGAGCATGGGCACCCATCCAAAAGTAAGGATAAATCTGATATATAAAGACAAGACTTATATTATGCTTTTTAAATATTTTTTATATTATTTATCTATTAAAACTTGAATTTTATTTCAATAAATATTTATATTCATGTTATTACAGATTATTTAGACATGATCATAAATAATATTTAAATAATTAAAGTTAATTTTAAATAACTATAATAAATAAAAAATATTTTTTTGAGAAATATTTATTTTTATTATACTATATGACCTCTCGTACATTGAATATATATTTTTAGTTTACTTTTTTTTATAATTTATTTTTTAATTTTAAAATTTATAAACATATTAATATAAAAATTATATAATATATCTTATTTTATTTTAAATTTAATAACACCATAAAAAAACTCCACATCCTCTCTCTCTCTCTCTCTCTCTCTTTCTATATATATATATATATATATATATATATATATATATATCCACACACAAAAGAAAAAAAATAATATTGATATAAACTACACTAATAATTACACTGTTAAATAATATTATATATTAAAAAAATTAATATAAAATTATTTTATAGATTTAAAAATTTAAATTATGTCTACATAATTTTAAATGAATTTAAAATTATTTGATCTATTTGTACATTTATATGTGTGGGTATCACGTGCTTGTTTTTGGAAGAAGATTGTATCTATTAATTTTACTGTCTTAATATGTCTAGTGATTATTTTTATCTGAAATTTTAACTGTCACTTGGTTTCTTCTTCTTCTTTATGAACTTTAGTTTATTATAATAATAAAAAACTAAAATATGAGTTGATCTAAATTTAAGCAAACTTATTGAATGCAATATAAACACTTATATGAATTAGAGGTATGCGTGGTGGTGACCTTAAAATTTTTTCTATATATTCACGAAGATTCATTCGTATATAAATAGTGAATAAAAATAAGGAAATGGTAACAGTGAGATTTGCATGAAAAATAAAGTAAAGCGTACTATTAGATGAGTTCAGCAGTTACCAGATAGACAAGGCATCCACGGAAACCTCTGCATTCTTTAGGTATCCAGCGAAGAGAATCAGAGCCATGAAATACCAAATTTCCAGGCTGCACGAAATTTTAAGGGAAGTCAATACTATTTATATTTTTCGTTAATTCGTTTATTAATTTTTCTCGTCCACGTAGGGTCTCTTTAATTGGATTCAGTTGGGCCTGCTGGCCCAGTAACCATGCCTAGGTTCAATTGTTGTTAATTTTCTTGGGTCTGGGGAAAGATAGAGATATCAGCACACTACAACGAAAGAGGTCCAACTAAGGCGTAATCAATAACACAAAAGAAAGCCCGTTATATAGACCAACAAGCCCAGATTACTTGCTCAAATACCATTATACTTATATCAAACCCCTCCCCCTCCTAAAGAGTAGAATAAATTTAGGGGGCAGTGTTATGATGAGAGTACACTCTAATTAAGTTTTGATGTTTAAAAGGTAAGAAAAATAATTTATTTATTTTAAACTAAAATAAACAATGATTCCATGTTTTTTATTTAAAAAAATACTCTTTAAATAGTTGCTCAACAACTTTTGCAGGTCTTTGATCATAAAATTTAATATTTTTTTATTTCACTAAAAAATATCACACGATTAATAACTTTATATTAATAATATTGTATTTTTTATCTCTAGTTTGAACCACATGATTTTAATCCTCTTAAATTTTTAAAATTAATTTTTTTTATAATTTTAGAAGTAAGCAAGTGTAGTCATGTTTATATTTTTTTAAGCTAAAATCTATAATTTATATTTTGCACTAAATTTTTTTAATTATTATTTCAATAAAAAGTAAATAACTAAATGTTTTGAAGTAAACAAAATAGGAGGAGAGTTAAGTTTGCTTAATTTTAAAACTAAGTGCTCGTTTGATGTTAGAAATTGAATATTAAAATTGAAATTGAGCTTTATAATTTTAATTATCATGTTTGGATGTATATTTAGAATTGGAATTCTAATCTCATTGACTAATTTTATGAAATTTTATTACAACTAAATTTAGCTCACTTCAATTCTTAACCTGCATTTTAGGAATTTAAATTTCTAATATCATAATTCATAATTCACAAATATACTTTTACGTATCATATCTCTTCATTTTTGTGGTTTCTTGTTTTCATAGTTTTTGTTCTTCTCTCTTTCTTGTTGTATCTTAATTTCTTTTCATATGTTCTCTTATTTTTTTGTATTCTCTAATATTTTTAACTTTACTTTTACGTTGATTATTAATATTTTTTTTATGTTTTCTTATTTTTCTTTATTCTTTTTTTCTATGTAACGTTGATTATTAATAAAAGTAATTTTTCTTTATTACTCTTCTTCTTGTTCTTCCTATTATTTTTTTACATCTTTTTTCTTCATTTCTTTCTCATATTTTACATTTATTACATGTTTAATATATTTATGTAGTTGTACTGTATTGCTATTCTATATTTATTGCAAATTATATTGAAATTATTTTTTTGCACTTGACACAAACTATATTGTTTATGTTAATTGTATAATAAATTATTTGATAATTTTTTTGAACTGTTAAAATATTAGAAATTAATTCAAAAATCATTGAGAGTGCAAGAGAAATAAATAAAAAAAACTAATGTCAGGTGCAATAATTATTACAGTGATTATAATAATTTTATAATATAAACAAAAAAATATACCTAGAGAGCCAATAGACAAGAGTGATAAAGAAAACAAAAATCATATTTTTGAGGCGATTATATTATGAGACAAATAAAAATTATTATAATTAATTATTTCTTACTAGTACACTATAAAATTTAATTTCAACTTAAAATTCTAATTTTACATTCTAATTTTTTAAGTACGCCAAACATAAAATTATAATTCTAAACTAATATAATTCTAATAGAATTAGAATTAAAATTATAATTCTAAACTCTAATTCTAATTCTATGCAACAAACGAGCTAGTTAATTATTTTGAGAAAAAAAAACTTAAGAGTTCTAGACCACGCACAATTTGAATCAAAGACACTACAAGTACTATTAAATTAAATTTTTTATAGACAAGTTACGAATCATACGAAAACCTTTTAAATAAACTTGACAAATCTGTCGTGTTTCACTGTAATTCAATTAATAAAATAAAAGTGATAAATAAGTGTTTGATCAGATTGAAATTTGGCGTTAATATGTAAAAGATAATGAAATAATAAAAAGGTCAGGTAAAATGGTGTGAAGACACGAGAATTGTTAAATATGTGTTCATATTGTTCGCCTGGTTTTTGTGATTGACATTTATTTATCAATAAAATAACTAATAACGATTGTAATACACACAACAAATTTTTAGAATTGTTTTTATAACTTTTTTTTCATATCTATCAATCACGTCACTCATTTATACTTTTTGTCTATTATTTCAATCTTTTTTTTAAATGATATTCCCTTTCATCCTTTTAAAAAATAAAACAAAGTATTTTCTTTATTCTAATTATAAAAAATATAGAATAATTTTGAGATAAAATAATTATTAATTTTTATTATTAAATATATACTTACGTAACAATGACTAAAATCAACTATAATATCTAATATCATAAATATTTTTAAAATAAAATTTGTATTTATAAAAAATATCTGATTTAATTGTTTTTCTTAACTATAATGATCCAACCATTTATTTCTTATAAAAAATACGGAGGAGTATAAAGAAAAAAATATATTTAATATTTGTAAATATAATAAAATTCAATTAGTTTAAGTAAATATTAAAGTTCTAAAAATATTAAAATATTTTTAAATCTTACACATAACAAAAAGCATGTAATTTTAATTTACAAATAGATATATTTGTATATTTTAGAAATTAAAATTGAATAGAACATTTTTTGAGACTTAAAAAACTTATAATATTGTTAAAGATCAATTACTTAATTCGGTTAATTTAATTTTAATTTATTATTAATTTTGTTTATTTTGATCCTTAAGCTTTACAATTTTTTAAAATAGTCCTCTTCTTTATAAAAATCAAAATTAATTTATTAGAATATTTAACGTGTGTATTTAAATATTGTATTTAATTATTTAAATTTTTTTTGCTGACGTGTGTATTTAAATATTTAACGTCATTACTAAAAGGATTTTGTAATTTATTAGAATCAAAATTAATAATAAAATAAAAACTAAAAAAATAAATTGATGATATTTATAAAAATCAATTATAAAAGCATGTTACTCAACAAACAAAGCATTGATGATGCAGCAAGATCAGAAAGTGATTAAAAGGTTGACGCACCAGAACATGACAGCAGAAGCCAGAGAGAGACGAACAAAGGCCCATAGATTCCGAAACGCTTCGAAGGATAAGCCGGTCCAAGCCAGCCCACAAGTCCCGCTGAAAATATACACCAACTGAGCCACCACTATGAACCACCACGACGAGTTCAGCACCACCGCCGCACCCACCAACCCCAACCCTAACTTCAACATCAGTAACCAACTGAACACCGTGTGCAGGACCAATGCCACCGACGATATCCACGCCATCGCCATGATCTTGCTCTGCGCCTGCAGAAACTTCTGGATTGGGAAGTTCACGGCGTAAGCGAAGAGCTGCGGTATCATCCACACGGCGAACACCCCCGCCGCCTCCGCTATCGCCGCCGTTTGACCTATCGCCGTCAAAATCTGCTTGGCGAAGACGTAGAGCAAGCTGAGGAGAAGAGCGGTGGCGATGACAATCACCCACGATCTCTGCATGTATATCCCAAGCATGTCCACCCTCCCTGCCCCAAACGCTTGCCCACACAGCGTTTCCAACGCGCTTCCCATGCCAAGCTGCACCGTTTCCACCGCTTTTGTTACAATTACATTTTTTCCGTTATGATAAGTTAGTTTGTAGTTAAAGAAAGTCAGAAGTTCGTCAAAATATTTTCAATCCTTCATGACTCTTTTCTTTTAAAACCATGCATTTGCGTGCTCCTGAGTAAAAATGGATTTTTGTTTATCTAAAATATAATCATAATTGTAGAATAGAAATTTGAGAGATGCGATTGTAATAATATATATAACAAATTTTAAAAATTATTAAAATATATTTTAGTTGCTGTATTTTTAATCATCAACTATTAAAGTTACAGTTTTCTAAATGAATTATAATTTTTTATTTTGTATAATGTACAAAAATAAGGGAGGAACAATTTGTTTTTAAATTTAAAATAAAAAGTAAAATATTTTTCTTCTTCAAATAAATAAATAAAAATATATCATTATTATATTTGTTTCATTTTCCAAACATATTACAAGATAAAAATTCATGTGTAAATCATTAGTATGGTTACTTTTCGCTTAACTCTTTTTTTTTAAACTGTTGAAATAAAGGTAATACTAATTATCCAGGTGTAGATGGTGGTGGAAGTTAGATATAGCTTACCATAACACCGAGGCAGAAGCCAGCAATGACGGAGTTTTCGACGGAGACAGCGGCGAGGTGGAGGGTGCTAATATGACCGGAGAATACCTGAGTAACGAGGCCAAGACAATACTGGCAAAGACTGGTGAAGATGGCTGGAGCGGCGAGGTACCAGAGCTTCCTAGACTCATCAAAGTACTCTCTGAAAAACTCTCTCGAATTGCTTATCAGAAAGGTCTCATTAGATTCTGTGGTCAAAACTTCTTTATCTTCCTCATGTTCGTTCGGCGGTGGCAGCAGTGGCTGGCTTATGATACTACTGTTCTCCATCACCATGGATTATAGGATGGATTTTTATTTTTATTTTTGCTTAGGCAGGCCAGATATTTTTTTTATGAGATAAAATATTACTTGATCTTAGTGGAACCACTCTATGAATGCCAAGAAATTCTGAAAAATAACAAAACAAAATATTGGTCTTATATATATATATATATATATATATATATCTTAATATTTTTCAGTATAATTATCCTTCAAATTTATATTAATTAAAATGGTCATTAAATGAAAATAAAAAGGTTCACTAAGTGTTTATAATTTTTAAAAAATAATCATTAATATTTAATTATATTACTTTCTTGTTATTTTATTTAAAGTAATACATAATCTGAAACAAATCAAAATCTTCAAAATTTAAAAGAAGTACCATTTAGGGTTTATTTTGTTTATAGAATTTAAAAGTCATTAAATATATGTTTAAGTTTAGAAAATAATGTTTTTTGATAGAATCTTCAAAGATCATTAAACAATGTATTTCCTCAATATATATATATTTTAAAATATTAAAATAATTAATGTATTAAATATAACTCCCTTTAAGTTTTACATGATGAAAAAGAGAAAACATTACTTTTTTTAAAGAACATAAATTTATTAGAGTACAATATATTTGTATTTCACTCATTCTGCTCAATATAAAGATATTAAAAAAAAAAAAAGAAAAATTTAAAAAATGTACATTTTAAAAATATCTATAATAAAATGAATTATGCTGATACACACACACAAAACTAGAGCATTAAAAAAATATTAAATACAATATTTATTAAATTTACAATTTGTATATTTATAAAATTTCTTTAAAAATACAATAGCAAATAAAAATTTAATTATCATAAACACAAGAACTAAAAAAATATGTTAAACATTTTCAAAACTTTTAATTGTTAAGAAAATAAATTATTTTATAACAATATAGTACTCATAAACTAATAACAATATATTACATGTCCATAATTTCGATATGAAATTATTAATTTATGTAAATATTATCTTAATTATTTTATTCATAAAAATATTTAATACTTGTGAAATCAAATTCATATAAATATAATTTTAAAATTATTTAATTTTTTAATTATTAAAATTTGACAAGTTAATCCATTCTTTATACATGTACATGTGGACGCAATAACTTTTTATTAAAAATTATAAAAAAAAGGTGTAGTTGCCTTTGTAAATAATTTGTTTTACCTTCAATGCCTTTGAATTTTTTGTTATATCTGTTAAATTTTTTTGAATAATATTAATTATTATTTTTTAATAAGCCCACAAAAAGTTAAATAAAATATTATTAATAATGCTTGACGAAAATAAAATCTCCCTCCAAGTCTCAACTCACCTTGTTACACACTTACACGTTCCACATCGGTGGACGTGTTTATGAATACGAGGAAGTCGTCTCATTAGTGGCTGAATGCTGAGTGGTGCTGACTCACCACAATGTCCGAAAAAGCGCAATGCCAGTTTTCTGTGAAAATAAAAAAAAACGGATAACGTTACCGAACGCACTTTGACTTTCAATTGCTTTCAATGTTAATGGAAAAACAATAGTTAGTGAGCGACCCCTCTTCATTCTGATTCATTCTATCTAAAGACTAAAACTAAAACACCATCTTCATCTTCAGCAGCACTCGAGCTTCTTCTTCTTCTTTGTGGAGGTGGCGGCGGAGAAGCGCGTTTTGAAGTGAGGCATTACTGACTGTATGTCAGTGGAATACTACAGTGGAGTTTTCTACGGTGAGCTCGCTAACCCTTTACAATGGCCACAACTCAGGAAAAAGCGACGCTCGACAATAACAACCCCAATGCTTCTTCCTCCGCAGCTCAATCTTCTCCTTCTTCTTCTTGGACTGATCCTGTCCGAAACCGACCCTCCGTCGCCACCTTGATTTCCGCCGTCGATTCCTTCTCCGATCCACCTCCCAAGACCACTTCCTCTACCAAAGGTTTATCATTTTTAAAATTTTAACTTTTTTTAAGTGTTGATTTTGGTGTTTTTACTTGTCGATCAAAGATAATGATTGTTATTATAATAAATTGATTTTGGTGTTTTTACTTGTTGATCAAAGATAATGATTGTTATTATAATAAAGAATAGGTAACTTTTATGTTGAGTTACGATTGAGTTTAAAATTTACTAATCTCATCTTTCTCTATCCTAATTAGCTAATTCAAAACGAGATTCGTGTAATTTTGACTATAATTTCCCCTTTGTGTTCTCAGCTACGAACAAGTCACCGTACTTGATAAAATACACATTTCATATTCCTTTATCCTGGGCCTAAATCTACTTTTCTTTTCTTTTTTCCTTTTTAGTCTCAATTATTATTCTTGTTTGACTTCTCCATATGTTATTAACCTACCTTTCGGGAGAACTTATTTGAATAATCTGCCATATCTGCTTTTGGTTGATACACATGTTGAGATATTTGACATTTGTACAATGTATTGCTTGTCAATTTAGAGGCTTGCGTGATGACTGTTTATGGCAGGGTGTAGTTTATGCAGTCCTTCTGTGTGTGTAGTTGGAGAGGAACATTTATTTTTTAAAGGTTGTTTCCTTACCCCAAATTTTGATCTGGGATAGAGTCACGTCTTTGACTTCTCCTAAGTGATCTGCTCACAGCTGCCTCAACGATGTTGCTAACATGGATTTGCAGAGAGATTCGGAAGTGTTGCTCATTTTAAAGATATAAAATCAATCTTATGTCCTCTCCTAAAATCTTAAGCTGTTAGTGTTGGGTGAAGACACATAATTGGTTTTATACCTTGAACACTTACACACTTCTCTTCTTTCCTTATTTTTCTTGAATTTTTTGTATTTAATCTTTTCTGATTCAAAGGATTTATTACCCTGATATCCTCTCCCTGGTTTTTCTTTGTTGTTATTGATAAAATTTCTTCTTCTATCAAAAATATTTGTTGTGCTTACTTGCTGGCACAGGTATCCCAGTCATGATGAGAGCTCAAACATGCCACCCTTTGGATCCACTATCTGCTGCTGAAATATCAGTAGCTGTAGCTACAGTTCGGGCAGCTGGGGCAACCCCTGAGGTAGATTGCTCCATTTTTTTTTTCACTGTAGACTGAGCTTAAATTTATTATTAAGTAATGGTTATGTTATTGTTAGACATTGTTTGTAACTTCTCGAATTCCTTATGTTTGCATGTTGATGAAAATATTTGATTATCTTGTTAGGTGAGGGATAGCATGCGCTTTGTTGAAGTAGTCTTGGAAGAACCAGATAAGCAAGTTGTGGCATTAGCAGATGCATATTTCTTCCCTCCTTTCCAGCCATCATTACTCCCCAGGACTAAAGGAGGACCTGTGATTCCTACTAAACTTCCCCTAAGAACAGCGCGATTAGTTGTTTACAACAAGAGGTCAAATGAGACAAGCATATGGATTGTTGAACTTAGAGAAGTTCATGCTGCAACTCGAGGTGGCCACCATAGAGGCAAAGTAATTTCTTCCAAAGTTGTTCCAAATATTCAGCCTCCAATGGTAAATATATACTACTTGATTTTATACTTTCATAAAATCATGCTGCTATTAGGATTTGTAGAGTCTTTGCTATCCCCATTCTTATTTATACTTGCTGATAACTGCAACCTTTTTATTTTGGAATTCATGCGACACATTTTTTTTCTTCTTTCTTTCCTAATTTAAATGCCTTTTGCTAAAACTTGCATATAAACATTTAGAATGGAAGTCACAAGTCTAACAAACAGTAGTAGTTCTTTATGATCTTTATAAGCCAGTGGCGCAATATATTTTTGTTTTACATTTCTTAGTGGTGAGTTCACCTTTCAGAATCTAAATGATTTTGTAATACTTATGTGGAGAGCTTAGATAATCAGAATCAGTGCCAAGATGGCCAACGCTGATGGTTCTTTATCAGTCATATAGTCTTAAGTTGTTAGAACTATTTTTTGTTTTAATATAACTATGTTTGAAATTAATCATCATCGTGTGTCTCATGTGAAAATGATTTCTGTTGACAGAGAGAATTATTGAGAGGAATAGTGTGTTAGGCTACACAGTACACAGATCTTTTGGTATTTGTTGATAGATATATAATCAATTAGGTAATAATCTAAGCTGACTATAAACCTAATCTTTAGCCTAGTAATCAGTAATTGATTATCCTAATAAATTATTGATGTAGTTGACTGTATATTCTATTAAAAAATGATGAAGTTATAATCTAAATGTAATACTCCTAACAGATTTATTGTACCCCATACATGCAGCTAAATAAACGTGTTCAGAACAATACTGTAAAATGAAAAATTAGTGCAACTACCACATAACCTGTTACTCTTTATATCTACTAGTTTCAAATCGACATAGATTTGTGTTATTCACTCCATACAAACAGGATGCTGTGGAGTATGCAGAATGTGAAGCCGTTGTGAAGGACTTCCCTCCATTTCGAGAAGCAATGAAGAGAAGAGGGATTGAAGACATGGACCTTGTAATGGTCGATGCTTGGTTAGTTGGTCATTTGAAATGATTTGAAGACATTTTATAAGAATTTATTTCATAATTATCTTGTTTTCTCTAATATGTAATAAGGTGCTGAAACTTACAGGTGTGCTGGATATCATGGTGAAGCAGATGCTCCTAGCCGCAGGCTTGCTAAACCTCTAATCTTCTGTAGAACTGAGAGTGACTGTCCCATGGAAAATGGCTATGCTCGTCCAGTTGAAGGAATCCATATTCTTGTTGATATGCAAAATATGGTTATTCTTGAGTTTGAAGACCGTAAACTGATCCCCCTCCCACCTGCTGATCCATTAAGAAATTATACTTCCGGTGAAACCCGGGGAGGAGTTGATAGAAGTGATGTGAAATCGTTACAGATTATTCAGCCTGAAGGTCCAAGTTTTCGTGTCAATGGACATTTCATTCAATGGCAGAAGGTGATATTTTTTTTCTGTACTATTTCTAGAAACTAATTCATAGAGACCTGTAAACTTTTTAATGTAATTCTTTTTTTGCAGTGGAACTTTCGTATTGGTTTCACTTCTAGGGAGGGTTTAGTTATTTATTCAGTAGCCTATATTGATGGAAGTCGAGGGAGAAGGCCAGTGGCCCACAGATTGAGTTTTGTTGAGATGGTGGTCCCTTATGGAGATCCAAATGATCCTCACTACAGGAAGAATGCTTTTGATGCTGGAGAAGATGGCCTGGGTAAAAATGCTCATTCTCTCAAGAAGGTTAGGGCATTTACTTTTTATCCAGTCTCATAAATTCCTCTTCTTTCTCAATGTAGATGAAATTAAAATTTGTTTTGCAAAGTGGAATTATTGCAGGGTTATGATTGTTTAGGGTATATCAAATACTTTGATGCTCATTTCACAAACTTTAATGGTGGCGTTGAAACAATAGAGAATTGTGTTTGCTTGCATGAAGAAGATCATGGTATTTTATGGAAGCATCAGGATTGGAGAACAGGTTTGGCTGAAGTTCGACGGTCTAGAAGGCTGACAGTATCTTTTATATGTACTGTGGCCAACTACGAGTATGGATTTTTCTGGCACTTTTATCAGGCAAGTTATTGTCTAGATTCATTTATCTGAGTCTGGTAAGATTGGTTGAATTGCAACCCTGGTTGAGACATAGTGATATAAATTTTTAAAATTTAATGCATACAAATAGATGTCTCAGTTATTAAATGTGAGTAGAGTGTATTGGAATGGATTCAAAGTGAGGCTTCTGCATTGTATCCTAGCAGCTAAACCAGAAAGAAAGGAAGATTGGTCTCATTTCTTACAACATCATATTATACTGCAGATCAATTATTTCATCTTTACTGGATGATTATGAAGTCTATTATTTCACTTATTATTTGATTTTTGTTGCTATATTTTGCTCAATAATCTGATTCTGTAATGTTTATCCTACCTCTTTCCCCAGGCAAGGCTTTGTGGTTGATTTCAATGTTCAAAGTTTGAACATAAGCATATTAATTGGTTGTCTCTCTGATTCTGTATTTTCCCTTTTCTACTTTTCAGGATGGAAAAATAGAAGCTGAGGTTAAGCTCACAGGAATTCTTAGCTTAGGAGCATTGCAACCAGGTGAAACTCGAAAATACGGCACGACTATTGCTCCTGGATTATATGCGCCTGTTCACCAACACTTTTTTGTTGCTCGTATGGACATGGCTGTTGATTGCAAGCCTGGTGAAGCATTTAATCAGGTCAGTCTGCAACTATACTTTTCATTTGCCAGGGTCTTCAATGTTGAAGTCCGAAGGACTATTTTGGTAGACTCATACTTCAATATTTTGAGTCAGTGTAAGATTGTTTCCCATCTCAATTTCTATTTTTAGGAAAGAAAATTGCATGCAAATCTACAATTATGTTGCTTGCTTTCTGCAACGGAAGGATAAGCATTGGAATGAATTATGTTTTGAAGAATACCAAATATTAAGTGCTAATTTGTTTCGAAGTTGAGCATAGTTGATATTGATAAAATTATTTTTCAATCATCAAACATAATTGGAAAGTGTGCCCAAATTAATATTACTTATAGATTTTTCATCGGATTGTGTGTCATGGTGGGAGGATGTGATTCTGGGATGTTTCTCAAATAGACATTATAGGCTTAGTTTGGATAAACCTTTTCATAAACACTTATGATAGAAAAAAGGTAAAATGATTCATTTTCTTACAAATTAAAATCAAACAATGCATTTTAGCTTATAAAGAAATTAGAGGAGAGAGCTTCTAAAAACTAAATTAGTTGATTTTAACTTATAAGAAAAGTCTGATTCATTTTTTGCCTCTTTATTTCTGTTCTTCGTAAGTGTTTTAAGAAGTTTATCTGAACTGAACTATAATAGTATTTCTTTTGATAATGTCATATTAAGTATTAATTAAATAACATGATCGACAGCCACCCAAGGATGTATGAAGTTATGAGACTTTTTTTTTTACTTTCCTTCATTTCTATTCATTTTCCATGTTTAACTTCTGCTTTTATAACTTAAATAGTCCATTCTATGGTTTCCATTTCAAAAAAAAAAATATGTATAAATAGTCTTCCACTTCCATCACTAAGCTACAAATTTCATTGCCAATATGTTTTCACAATTCACAAATAATATGACAAAATAGTAACACAGTAACAGAGTCCTCCTTCTCTCTCTCCAGGTTGTTGAGGTGGATGTTAAAGTTGAGGATCCAGGAAAGGATAATGTTCACAACAATGCATTTTATGCTGAGGAAAAAGTGCTTAAATCAGAATTAGAAGCAATGCGTGATTGTAATCCTTTATCTGCTCGGCATTGGATTGTAAGTTCTTTTTCTGAAACTGACGCATGATGTTTTTGCCACATGTGTATAAAATTTATATACCTAAATCAACTAATTCCGATGTTAAAGGTTTTGATTATGAGATTGTATGTTTTAGCCATTGTTATTGAAGATTGCAAGGTACTAGCACCCATGGGCTCTGTATTGTATTATTGTCATAAGATAGGCAATTAATTGGCCATAAGTTTCCTAGTAGGTCTATATCGATTCCAGTTGTTAGTCCAGGAGCCTTAATATAGGTTTTGAACCATTAATCTGTATTGACTTATGTTTTCCAGTTAATACTGTTTTTCTTCTACCTTCTCAGTTTTCAACTTTTCCAAATGCATATTTCCTACCAGCTACCAGCATATTCTTTGTTTCTGTAGTTATGTTTCTCAAAGCTGGGATTGTTTACTTGTTAAAAAACACTCTTTATTAGGTTAGGAACACAAGGACCGTAAACCGAACAGGGCAGCTAACAGGATACAAGCTAGTACCTGGTTCAAATTGTTTACCTTTGGCTGGTTCAGAGGCCAAGTTTCTGAGGAGAGCAGCTTTCTTGAAGCACAATCTTTGGGTGACGCCTTATGCTCCTGACGAAATGCATCCGGGAGGAGAGTTCCCTAATCAAAATCCACGTGTTGGAGAGGGTTTGGCTACTTGGGTTCAGCAAAATAGATCACTGGAGGAAGCTGATATAGTTCTTTGGTTAGTTCACTTTATTCTATCACTGTGAGAGTTGATATAGAATTTGCACTTGTTCTCAAGTATGTAGGCTTGCTTTATCTATTGCGCTCCAGCACATCCCATCCACATTTAGGGACAACAATTTTCCCCATCATCTAGGGATCCTCTTGCAGACTGCCTCATTTGGGCCCTCAAATTCGTGGATTATTTCCCACAAGGATGGGGGACAAAAGTCACTGAAATTCCTCCAAAGCAAATTTGGGGACGGAGATGGGGGTGGGGGTCCCTACATATATAAATGATAAAATTATTCTCAATTTTACGTACATGTAGACACAAATGACTTTTTAGTCTTTTTCTTGATAATTAATATATAAATGTATTTTTGATCTATTCCTTAATATAATTAATTTTTTGACAATTTAGAATTTGTTAAAATAGACAATGTTGTTGAATACAGCTTTTTTTTTTTTTTGATGATTTACTATTATTATTTTTTACAATGTTATTGTTGGGGGAACTCCACGAGGCATAGGGGAATCAGGGAGGACAATTATCACCAGGTGGGGAATGGGGATAAGGGAATGATTAGGAGGTTGGGGAGGCATTTCCAACCTGGGTGGATGCCATCCCTATGCACACTTCAATTGTTCCATTTGACTCTTGAATACGCAGTAAAAATTATCATAAGTTGCTGAGATGGAATGGTTGACATAAGACATCGATGACTGATAATTGTACTCTGAGCTTTTGTTATGCTTATTCATTCTTTGTACATGCTATCTGATTTGGTGAAATATTCCAGGTACGTATTCGGTGTGACATACATTCCACGATTGGAAGACTGGCCAGTTATGCCAGTGGAACGCATTGGTTTTATGCTTATGGTATTCCACTCAAAGTTAGCTTATTTCATTGTCGTTCTTTCTGTGCAAATTTCAAATGAGATTCATACTGAACTATGTTGACATCTTCGTGATATATCACATTACTCTCCTACGTTTTGAGTGCAATGTAGTTCAATATGAATCTCATTTGAAGCCCTCTTATCCTAAATTGTTAAAAAAATTAGCATTAAATCTTTGGGAGCAATTTCAGTAGCATCCGTGGAACCAACGAAGTTGTATGCTTGGAAACAAACTGATAATTTTCTGTTCATAGCGTTGGAATTCATTTCGTTCTGCTATTCATGATGCAGCCACATGGGTTTTTCAATTGCTCCCCAGCTATAGATGTTCCCCCAAGTGCAGGTGATTTGGATGATAAAGAGAATGGGATGTCTGCGAAGCCTATTCAGAATGGGGTGATTGCTAAGCTCTGAAAAGGGACCAAAAAGTAGAGACAATTGATTATGTTTATTGAAGGGAGTGCATCGATTATAATTTAATTTGTTAATTGTGATGTTTTTTGTGGTCCACATGGATATATAAGAATAGCTATTTAGGTGACGCTTGTGATGTACTTGGAAAATGATAATGCATTATTGCTTCTCTAAATTGATCCAACTTTCCTTTTCTAACGGAGTGGAGTGTGTTGGATTACAGTAAATCAGTGTATTATATGTTTGCTCTTCGTAGAATTCATTTTCATATATTCACATTACTTTAGTACAATTCCGAACCCTTCCAAACGATGGCCCATAATCAGAAAATCCGTGAGATTCCTACCCATCTTGAGCTGGTATGATGATTATGATGACTCAAGGATCGTCGAATTAGGGAACAGACGTGTAGTTTAAGGCTCATTTAGTAGCTAAGCTAATTGATATAGCAAATAATTTTATTTGATTTGATGACCTTTGCAGCTGCTTTAATTAATTGATATAGAGATTTCAGTTAGCCGTCATAAACATTACCTCGTTAACAATAACATTGTCTCAAGTCTCCACCACTTAGCAGTTATTTTAAAATTTTGAATAAATTATTGACACCAAACGTCACTACACTTAATAATATTTTTTTAATGTTGTATAAAAAATGCTTTTTACTGTTAATATTTAGTTTATGAAAGAAGTTATTGTCCATTCATATAAATTATCATACTAAACACATGCTTTTTTAATCGTAAATAATGATTTTTTTTTTGCATTATATGAGTATTATTAAATTAAGTTAAAATTGTAAATAATTAATTAAATATATATTGTATAAATATATTAAAATTTAACAGATATTATAATTTTTAATTATTAATAATAAATATTTTATTATATAATTATAATAATTTTTGAATTAAAATAAATTATATAATTCAAGTTTTAATTTATACCGGAATAAAAAATAATGTTAATATAGAAAAATATTAATGAGAAAAAGAACCAGCTCTTAAAAATATTTAATTTTTAAAAAAATTTCCAAACACATTTTCATTTAAAGATTCATATCTACAAATTATACATAATTTACATGTAACTAAGTTTTCTTTGTTCAACAAAAGCTGGCGAAGAAGGGGGCCACATGTGGATTTGGCATGTCGTTATTTTCATTGGCAGACTGGCATTCTTAAATTGGAAAGTTATAGATGAGCCAACTTGTGACTTGTTTGTAAGGTTTGAGAGCTTCTAGAGAAGAAGAGATGCTTCAATTTCATCCTCATTGTTGTATTGTAGTTTTGTTGTAGCATCAACCTTCACACAGGGGTAGCCACCCATTGTGCTGTGTTTGTGCCTTCCTTTTTCCATTTTGCTGCACTTCATTTGTCTCGGTTTGTGGAACAATGCCATCATTCTTTTTTCTTTAGTGCATAAAACCTTTCTTTTGTTGTTTCTATATAGTTTGGACAACCTCATTTCGTGTTTATATGTTGTTGTAGTTTATACGCATCTTATTTTTTTGAAATATACACAATTTTTATAGTAAAAAAATTGCAACTTATTATCCCATTATTTGTGAATGACACAGGAATGCATTGATATGCTAAGGAGTGACTAAAAGTAAAGAAAGAAATAGAAAATAACATGACGCAATTTAACTTAATTTAATTAGATTTCCAACCATACATTTAATCTATTTTGATGAACGTGGATTAAGGGGCTTGATTCACCATTCTATTATATTACTACTTGCCAGGAAAAAGCGAGTTGGGTATGACTTTGAAAAGACTCATTTTGTTAGGAATGTGGGTTCAAGTTACAATACGACTTCGGAGTTCAGGTCTCCCCGTGGTATATACGTTTGACCAGTCAATTAATGGGTCCAATTTGCTTTTCATTATTTTTTCTGTGGTCGTAGTTGGACAAATTTGGATTGGGAGGTGTGGAGATTCAAATTCTCGACTTCAATATTATGATAGTATCTTGGACTGGTTATTTGCGTGCTGTTTTTGTCTTTCAACATGTCCGTTTGCATGTTTGATCAAGTGTTTGGAAATTTCTATCAAGACTTCTAATATTAAATTTCAAATACAATTTTAATGTCTAAAAATAATAAAAAGATATTTGTAACATTAAACGAGACTAATTGGAAATGAGTTTATTATTTAAATAAAATATAAATGTTTATACTCGGTAAAAAATAACATTTGCGAAGAGAAAATAACTGTTTCATAATTTCTATTATAATAAAGATTATTGTTTAACCACATAAATATTAAAAATAACAAATTTTCAGATTTTTTACCTGACGTATATGATGCAGATTATAAAAATGGCACATACGTTTCTGTTTTCTTTTGTTGTTATATATATACACACAAAATACTAATACAATAATAGGAAATTATTCAGGTTTCCATTGTTTGAATTTCAAAGGAAGTATTGGTACCCTTTGTAACCATATTTAATTAGTATTTCATATAAATGTAACCAGTGACTAATAATTAATTAAAGGGTAGTGCCTTACTAAAAAATACCAATGAAAAATGATAAAATATTATCGATCAACTTGGGCAACAAGAATGCAAGAATACGGCATGCACCCATCAGCATGTATAGGAAAAGTAGAGAGAGAGAGAGAGAGCAATGAACAGTGTAATGTTTTACAGAATAAATGACAAGTTTTGTGACAGAGGTTACGTTACGTACGAGTCAATTTGACTCCACTTCGTCTTTCTTAAACCACTAATTTAGTAAAATCAAATCCCTTCGTAACACTAATTAAACCCAATCCCTTACAGGAAAAAATTAAATTGCTTGCTTGCGTTGCAATTTGCCAAAACACACAATAACCTAAAGCTAAATACTTAAATTAATCTAAAAAATGTTTCTTTGATTCCCCAAGCACCCTGAACATTAATTTGGCATTTCAACTTCTAAATTAAAGATTAAAAAAGTAAATTAATTATTCCAAATTTAATTAATAAAAGCGAAGAGAGAAGTTACTTAATTTGTCAAAAGTTGGAGTTAGGACAAACGAACATAAAAACATGCGTGGCAGAGGAAGAAGAAGAACAAATGAACAACAACGTTAACGCCCATTTCGTTTCACGACTCGGATTGTATCAGACTCAGCGTAGACTCGGTTGACTCAGTCCTCATCCGATTATCCTCCAACATCACTAGCTCCAAAAACATTCGAATCATTCAGTGATTGACTCGGCGGAAGCGACTCTGAGTCGGCGCGGCGGAGATGGCGTCGTCGTCGGAGAACCGAGTGGAGGACGAGTTATGGTCCCCGATTCAGGTGGCGGAGCGAGTTCGCTCGGCGGTTGAGGAGGTTGAGTCGTTCAAGCTCGAGTGCTCCGAAGTGTGGAAGCAGGTTGATCGTCTCCTCCAAATGCTCCGAACCCTAGTCCGCTTCGCCACCGCCACCGCCTCCGCCGCCTCGGCACCGCCGCTCTACGAGCGTCCAATCCGCCGCGTCGCCGCCGAGACCGCCAAGAATCTCGACCGCGCCCTCACTCTCGTCCGCAAGTGCAAGCGCCGGAGCATCCTCCGCCGCGTCGTCACCATCGTCAGCGCCGCCGATTTCCGCAAGGTCCTGGGCCACCTCGACACCTCCGTCGGCGACATGAAGTGGCTCCTCAGCATCCTCGACGCCGACGGCGGCGGAGGCGGAGGCGGAGGCGGAGGAATCGTGCTCTCCCTCCCTCCGATTGCCAGCAATGACCCCATTCTGGCTTGGGTATGGTCTTTTATCGCTTCCGTTCAAATGGGTCAATTGAATGATAGAATTGAAGCTGCGAATGAACTTGCTTCTTTTGCACAAGATAATGATAGGAATAAGAAGATCATAGTTGAGGAAGGTGGGGTTCCTCCTTTGTTGAAGCTTCTCAAGGAAGCTTCTTCCCCTCTTGCTCAGATTGCTGCTGCTAGTGCTTTGTGTCATTTGGCCAATGATTTGGAAAGAGTTAGAGTGATTGTGAATGAGCTTGGGGTCCCTACTGTTGTTCAGGTGCTTGCTGACTCTCCCATGAGGGTTCAGACACTTGCTGCCAATTTGGTTGCAAGGATGGCCAAGCATGACCCTGTTGCTCAGGAAGATTTCGCGAGGGAGAACGCGATCAGGCCGCTTGTAACGCTCTTGTCGTTTGATACTTTTGTGGATGATCCTATTGGGCAACTGGGTAAGCAGAGCATTCATTCAATTGTTCAGATGAATAAGGAATTGGGGAAGAGATCCGGGGGTAGGCCTAGTACTCGGCAGTTTGCAAATTCGTACTCTAATTCGTATTTGTATATGGAGGGAAGTAGCCGGGGAGGGAACCATAGGAAGGAGAGGGAGAATGAGGATCCTGATGTGAAGCTTCAGCTGAAAATTAGTTGTGCTGAGGCTTTGTGGATGCTCGCGAGAAGAAGTGTGTCCAACAGTAGGAAGATAACTGAGACCAAAGGGATGCTTTGTTTGGCTAAGATTGTTGAGAAGGAGCAAGGAGAGCTGCAGTTCAATTGCTTGATGACGATAATGGAGATAACAGCTGCGGCTGAATCCAATGCTGACCTTCGCCGGGCAGCATTTAAGACTAACTCTCCGGCTGCTAAAGCTGTTGTGGAACAGCTCTTAGGGATAATTAAAGAGGTGGACAGTCCGTCATTGCAAATTCCAGCGATGAAGTCTATTGGTTCATTGGCTAGGACATTTCCTGCTAGAGAGACTCGAGTGATTGAGCCTCTAGTAACACAGCTGAGTAATAGAAACACAGATGTAGCAGGTGAAGCAGCCGTTGCCCTTACCAAGTTTGCTTCTCCAGATAATTTCCTACATGTGGAGCATTCTAAGACAATAATTGAATTCAATGGAGTCCAAGCACTGATGAGACTGCTGAGGAGTAATGAAGTTACCCAGATGTATCATGGGCTAACTCTCCTTTGCTACCTGGCACTGCACTCTGGCAACAGTGAGTCCTTGGAACAGGCAAGGGTGTTGACGGCTCTAGAGGGTGCAGATAGAGCAGTTCTTCCTCAGCCTATAAGAGAATTGGTGTCAAGAGCAATAGTCCACCTCAATTTGTATCATGCAGGAATGAATTCTCAAAGGATATCATATTTGCCTTGACCACAAATTCAGCTACTTTTTTGACCCCGTGTTTTTGTGGGTTCATCAATATACTGTTGGGTTAGTTGCATCTGGCCAACTCTTTGGGAGAATAAGGGGGTTTTATAGGAACAAACCATACATAAGAAAATACATAAGTTTTTCAGCATAGGCTGTTTCTTCTTTCCTTTTTTCCCCTCATGAAACTTGTTAATGGGGTGACAGTTGTGCAGAGATTAATTTATTGGAGAATTAATTTAGTCATTTGATTTTGTTTTTTGTATACTTATTTTGTTCATCAAGCATGTTCTCTATATTTCATAGAAGTGCAGTGGCTTTGCAGTTAGAAGTCTATTTACCAGTATACCTATGACCAGTCTTGATTGATGGTCAACACATCCATTGTGACATTTTGTTAATTGAAATGTGCTGTATTCATCAGGGTTTGGAATTTTATGTTAACAGAAAGAACTGAATTTTTGTGAGAGCTTGTTGGGTCAGTGAAGATGATAAGGGGTAAGCATCATTCCTATATGGTAGCAGGAATCAATCATTACTCTTTACGTTCACTTATAGTATGGTGCTATATCTCATCATGTGATTTTATGCAGAGTGAACTTGTTGAAAAGCCATATATGGTGGAGTTATTTTGCAGCAGGCCTGGACTTCATATAGGTTTGTTTTCGCTCGTGAGATATTCCATCATTGTTAAAGAATGCTAGCAACATATTTTCTAACATGTCTTTTTAATATACTCTCTTACTGGTTGAAATTTATGCAGGAATTACTAAATATTAAGTGAAATCTGCATCATTTAATGCAATCCGCATGTGTTCCACTTAGTAATAATGTGTCTATAATGGTATTATGAGATGGTATAAAATTTAACTGTGCGTCTCAAAAAGTAGCTGTGCAGGTTTGTTTTCACTCAGTAAACACTGTGAAACAGTTCATTCCATATCTCCAAATAATTGTAGCATCTGAGTGTACGAAATTTCTCCTTATTAGGTTGATCCCTGGTTCTGCAAACGCGTGGCTATCAATCTTGTGGATCCTTGAATTCTTCCAGAAGCGGGCCTGTGACTTAAGAGTTGAGTTTTGAGGAGATGGCCTGATTGTCTTTGTGACGTTCTTCACAACTTTTAAATGGGCGCTCCATTATGTTGCAAAGTGCTTGTGTGCTCATTCTGTCTTTGACTCATGTAGAAAGCTCCAAATTGAAAGAACTTAGGCCTGCTCGTTTTAGTGGGCTAAATAATATTCTACAGTAAGAGACATCAGGAAATGCATTACTTCAGTGATAGAGAATGAACATGGCTAGTAATTCCTTTTTCTGAATGTTTTTTAAAAGCGGTTACGGGAGGCCCGGTTGCAACGTTGAAAAAAAAGAAAGTGTTTCTTCCTTCCTTTGTTTGTGTGCGTATTCTTTCTCCTGCCATGTGTAGAATATAGGTCATTGGAAAGTAGGTGCGTTTCATAGAGAACATGTTGGCAAAAGTATGTAATTGAAGGGGCAATAGAACCTGGCTTTACTTAAATTTCCTCCTTGTTGCATATTTCGTGCATTAATTTTCCACAAATTGTGGTTATTAAGATAAGCCGGGCCGTTGAAATTCCATTGCATGTACCCTTTTCGTGCATGAAAGAGGCTTGACGTAAATTTTGCAAGGTAAACCTTTCATGTCCACATTGCTCCTATTTGATCCGCATCCACAAAGCACCAATTCTGGTTGCAATCTCATGCTATCTTATTTCACGATGTCGATACAAAAACCAGAACTAATCATTTATGATATCCCGCTCCTTTGACTGTTTTTCCCACTTTTATTTCTGGTCCAGTTGAACAATCAAAGTCTATCTAGAAGGCAACAAGAAACAACCGGGTATTTTTCCTAAACGTCCGTAACCCAACCGGTGCTTAAACCCGATACATCATGTAAGGAGAAAAATTACATTACGCCCTAATTGTATGTCAAATAAAATAAAAACAAAATAAAACTGGATAAGGTTGATTAATTGCAGATTAGCTATGAATCATATTAGAGGTTAACTATTTCTATTGTAAAGCCAATAAGAAAACTTGGTACTTCATTATCATACATTCATCCTGTATATAGTCTAGAGTAATATGAATTTGCAATTTTCTAGACGGCCATTTATGACTAAAAATGCCCATCACACTCTACAGTTTCTACGTGGAACTTTCAATTGGTCAATAGGGCGGTTCACAAAGGACTCGTCTAGTTTTGTTTATAAATAAAGGAAAACCACTATTGTAGTCAGGATTAGTAGGCAAAGGAAGTTGCCTAATCAACTCCTGCCTTCTTTGTTTTATGCTTAGGCCTTCTTGTCTTCTTCACCTTAATGATGCAACTGATCAAGGTAATGCATTTTCTTGCTCACAAAGCAATATAAGGTTTGACTCAACTAGATGGCAAAGCACGCCAACTGTCAGCTAGATGCATGGCATGATCACGTGAAGCTGCTGAAAGCCGATGAAGAACTGCATTCTTGACATGAGTGGCGCCTTTCTCACCAGCACGAGTTGCAAGTTCCAAATATACCACAGCCTTCATCATATCTCCCTCCTGTACAGAACAAATCATACATTATCCCTCCATATCAGACAACATATTAGAACCATCCAGTAGTCAATTATGTATCATTACCATAATCCTACCAATATTTTTAGTCATTGCTGATTGCTATACCAATAATATAAACATGATCCAGACAAGAAAACCAATAAATAGAGCATTGGGCTAACTGATAAAAAAGAACGTAGAACTCCAATCGAAAAGGCAAATAACATTTTGCAAGTCAGTGTGTATGTCTACAACTATTATAATGCACTCGAAAAATAGCTGAACAGAGGTCTAGAACATAGAGAATGAAACAAAAATATATGGCAAAATTACAGACTCTAAAAAAGTGCCATGAAGTCAGGTTTTTCTCAAAGTCAGAAAAAATTCCTAAGACATACTTCATTTATTCTGTGGTAAACATTACAAAGTACAAAGGAGTAGTAGCTAATAAAGAGACAAATACTTACAGTAAAGAGGGCAAGTCCGTGCTCAAATTGAGCTTTACTATGCCCACGATCAGCAGCGCGCTTCATCCATTTTCTTGCTACTTGATGATTACGTGTCAGTCCTTCCCCAAAGGAATAGCATAAGGAGATATTATACATAGCACGGACATAACCACCTTCCGCAGCTTTCAGATACCATTTAGCCTGTTGCAGGGAAAACTTGTTAAAAGCAAAGATCAAAACATACCACCGTAAGAAAAGAACCAAAAACACCCAATATCACAAGCCAATTCTCAAACAAAGAACCAACCATATTTCCCATCCTTTAAACCCTCCCTGCAATAAATCCATCCATTCATTCATAATTAAAAGTAAGAGGACAAACAAGAACAAAGCACCAACAGCTTCTCTCATATTGCTACGGATCCCACCAACACGATGCAGACAAAGCGCAAGCTGGTACTGGGCACGAACATTCCCACCAATAGAACCTTTATATAACCATTTTAAAGCTTCCTCAGTATTTGGAGGTTCAGCTGCATATCATAGATAATACTTATCAGCATAATGTTCTTTCCCATTCTAAGCATTCATTCATTAAAAACTCTCAAATGAAAGTAACAGCATAGCCTATATTTCAAATTTTAAAAAAGTACTAATACTAAAAAGTAACAGCGTGTGATAGGTTCTCTTCCATGTTTTAATATATAAAAACAAAACTGAACTCAAAATTAGGGAAACCTTGGAGATAGGAAATTCCCAAATTGCACTGTGCAGAAGAATTTCCGAGTTCAGCAGCTTTCAGATACAATTCCACGGCCTTAGCCTTCTCCCCTCTCTCCCAGTAAATGAGACCGGCGTCCACCATGGCCAACGCGGAGCCACGACCGGCAGCTTTCATGAACGAGTCCAGAGCCTTGTCGGCGTTCGGACGGAACCCTCGCCGGCCGTGCTTAAAGCGCTTCCCCCACCGCAGAAGAACCATCGCCTCTCTAAGCGGCTGCAGCGCCTCCGACCACGACCGGCAGACCAGCGACGCCGCTCGGAGGTTGGGGTGGTCGAAGGAGGCGGCGATCTTGACGAGAACGTCGTAGGGGAGGGCGGAGAAGTCTCGGCCGGAGGGGGATGGTTGGGACGGCGGAGGGCGGGAACGGAGGCGGGTGGAGCGCGCGGCGGAGAAATGGGATGGGAAAGGGATGGAGGAGAAGGGATTGGAAGAGGAAGAACGAGGCCATGTTGAGTGCTTCATTGTGACTGTGACTGTGACTGTGAGAATGCCACAACGTCGGTGATGGATGTTATTGGTAATTCCCTTCTTATCCCTTTCATTTGCATAGTATCGGTTAAGTTCAAACTATAGTTAATTAACCTACTCATCGTACATGCCTTACCCTTTCAAATTAGTGAAAAGTTATTAGTCCCTATCTTCTTCTTTTGCATCTTTTTTTAAATACTGTAATCTTTTATTCAAATCTTTTTATAATATTTTTATTCATTTTAATCTTTAAAAATAAATTTAAACATATAAAATAGTGTACTTTGATTAAAAATATTTTTATTATATTCAAACGAGTCTCATATTTCATAATTTTGAATTCAGGACGTATTTTTAAAGTTAACTCGCTTCACATAATCACGATTCTTGTTCCAGTTAAAAAGATGACTTAAATAAGTTTAAGTGTCTATAAATATAATTAAATATGGTTTTAGTCTTCAAAATTTTCTGCGTTAGTTTTGATTTTTATAAAATTTAAAAATATCTTCACATGAAAAATTTCAGCATTTAATGGTTATATGAGATGCATTTAAATATGTCTAATCATCAATTATTTTATGATATGTAACATGAAATACTTACATAAAATGTCACATCATAATAAACGATAATAGAGACAACTTAACAATTATATTTTGCACATTAATATTTTCAAAAATATTGATGCTACAATGTTTTGGCATTTTCCCCCAAATTTTCTTAGTTCTCTTGCTCTCTCTTTCTTTTTCTCTTTACATTTATATTCCTTTGATGATCTTAATTATTTTAAAAATTAAACATATTAAAATATATATTAACAAAATAAATAAAAATATTAAACTATTCCAAAAGATTATATTAATTTTCAACTGCATTGCTTATAGGTTATAGCATAATTATTTGGAAATAGGATATAAGCAGTTTTAGGTTTTTGTTTTTTTTTCATAGTAACGATAATTTTTGTATTGTCTACTAAGATGTTGAAAACAAAATTTTAGAATTTATTAATTATAAAATCATGCTAAATGATTTTATAGCTTAAAAAAGTTTTTAAAAATAATATAAGAAATATTAATTTATATTATTTTGACTACGGGCTAAATTTTTTAGATATGCCCCTGTTGAAAATGTGTTATTAATATGTATTTTCAATCTACAATTAATTAACGAATCAATGATATGTGAATGTGAGGAACTAAAAGTAGAATTTGGGCCGAGTGAAGGCCCAAATTGTAACAATCTAAATTCATTACCGGGACCAAGCCCAATGAATGTGACCCTGGGCCTTGACCCATTATCCGTCAGCATAAAACTACAAGACTTTTGCAGCTGACTATTAGTCAAGATTTCAAAACTTATGTGACGACACATATCTATTTTTTTTCTCGTAAAAATTATACATGATGCAAGATGAATGATCGACACAATCCCAACCGCCCAATAATTTTGTTAGTTGAATAGGAGTGAGATACGATAAAAATAAAATAAATTTTTGTTATATTTAATGTATCCAGACTTAATAAAAAAATATAATATAAATATATAGAAATAATAATTTTTTTGTTTATATTTATTAAATTAAATTTTGATTTTTTATGAGTTATTTATTTTAAATTTATAAAAAATATATAAATAATTCAATATATTTTTTAATTTTAAAAGCATATAAAAATAGAAAAGAGAGAAAAATGAAAGAGACGTAATTAGAGGAAAGAGAAATAATAAAATATTTTAAAAAAGATAGTTATTATATTTTTTAAAATAAATAAATCTTAATTAAGAATATGTTTGATTTCTTTTTTAAAGATAGTTTTCTGTTTTTAATTTCTCTATACCACTTTGACTTGTGGCATTGGATCATTGGGATGAATATAATGAAGTGGTAAAAGAATATTGTAGTGTAAGATCCATGGGTCAATGTCTGAGTGATATTTTTTAGTAAATAAATATATATTTTATACTATGAAACAACGAGAAACACGAATGCTTACATATTAATTTGCATTATTGTTATGTAACTACGTACAAATAATATAAATATTATATTATTTATTTTCTTATTTGTGGCTTTTCTTATAGCAATAGTAATTAATGATAATCGATATACATAAAAAGTGATAAGATTTCCCTGAATTACTAAAGTTGATCCACGTCTTCTCTGTATGGATGTGTACATGCACGAAAGAAGAACGTTATCCACTATCCTTGATTTAAGACCTTTGCTTCTGTGTCTTCGAACCTGTACAAAACTAGAACTGTATTTTCAGATAACTGAAGACCTATGCAGCACCCAAGTAACACGTTAAGTAGACCGTCTACATCTCCAAAATTGGGGCCTCCCCAAAGCTTTATTTGCGGAGATCTATGTTATAACATCAAGATTGTTGAATGGTAGAAAACTAAAATGTTCAAGTAAATGAATTCAAAAGACAACGAATGGAGGCACAGCATAACCAATCAGCAGGTTGGAGAGAAAGTTAAAATATTTTTCCAATAAATTTGCAAAACATAATATTGGTCAATCATCTTGGTGCAAGATTATTAATTTCGTCAAAATTCCAATAAATTGTTAATTAAAGGTTTAAGTGTAAGCAATTTATAAAGGGATGTCGTAATTTTGAAACATCACAAATAATCTATCACAATAAGATATACTTGTCTATATTGGTCATGGATGGATAATTAATTTTCTTTGGATGTTAAATCTTTCTCACTAAATGGGAAAGTAGTCAGGATTGAAAGGAAAACCTAACTCATACATTATTATGTCCATCCTAATAATTATTCTCAACTTAGGATGCTAAGGAATAAGCTTATACTAGGCACCTAACATATCAACTCAATGGAGCATGAAACATGTCTAAATACTTAAAAGGGTCAGCCTTAACCCAGTTTCTGACTCTCATTTAGATTGACCCATCAACCCAATATATATATGTCTAAATCATCTCAATTAATGGCAACCTATACAATGAAAAATACTAATAATAGAGATCATTATTTTTTTTAATTAATCTAAACACACACTAAGACTTGTACCTTATTTGATCAGTAGATCATATCCCACATATAAACAAAAAGCTAGGGTAAAGTTTATAAATAACTGTTCCGCTTGATAAATTTCCTATAAATATAATTTATATTGTTGATATATCTTAATTTTAAATATATTTTTCTGTCTCTCTAAATATTAATAATTGTTTAATTTGTTTCCTCATTTTTTAAATGCTATATTTTTTTTTATACTTTTCTTTTATATATAATTTCTCTGTTAGTTATTTGTTTATTTTATCTATTAAGTGTCATTTTTCTTATAACTTTCTTTTCCATCTAAATATCGTCAAATTTATTTAGTTTTCCATTTTAAGAGCTATATAAATACTTAACCAGTAAATTAAACAAATGACAGAATAACAAAGAGACAACACATAATACAAAGGGAAAAATTTTAGAAGGAATAGTTTATAATTTTTAAAAAACGAGAAACTTGTGACCTTTTAAGAATAAAAAAATATAACTAAATATACAATAACATTTAATGGTAGCCTTAGAGAGAACAAATCAACATGCTCTAAACAAGTATGATAAAAGAAATGATATATATTAAAAACATATTCAAATAATAGAACTCTTAAGTCTGCGTGTTATATTGGAAAGAATGTACATTAGTAAATTTACACTAAACTCATACTGTTATTAATATATAAACATCAATGCTTCACATTTCTTAATGCATCATAAAGTGTTAAAATTCCTCCTTCCATTGTCGGTCCTAACCCAGGACCTTGGCTGTATTTTGCATGCAATGACACATCGGTATAACAATCTACCCGAACCCTAGTTAAACTGGGATATTCAATTGATTTCATCTTTAATAATCATGTCATAATGCTGTCACACTATTAAAAAATTCATCATTAATTAGCAAATAAAATTTCAAGTATTAGTATATTTTTTTGTTGATATACTCTTTATTTTAAAAAATTATTAATATAGACTTTGAAAGTTTATATTAACAAATAATACGTTATATTAACATCTGAGGCATTGCTAATATATATGTATTAGTCAAACTAATAAATTTTTTTGTTAAAACAAAGTTATACTAATAAAAATTAATCTAAAACAAAACTATTAATAAATATGAATTTTTTTAGTCGTCCATGTTACCGATTACCTAATTATATAAGTATATAACATCTGGGTTATACTTTCGTTCCTATAGTAGTTGTTTATAGTAAGTTGGTTCATGGTTGTAGAACCACCAACCACCCCAAATCTTTTATATAGAATATTTGAAAAAAACAATTAATAAAAGAATTATTTGTTCCTTGTCTCCCTCCATAGAAAAACAAAGGAAAATTAACGAATTGCTAAAATTAATGAATATATGTGGGTATATGCCAAACAACATTGTTTCTCTCCATGTGGTCTCCAATAATGAGATTCAATTAAGGATTAATTAGTATATAATAAGCTAATCCACTACACCCCACTCCAAGCCAAGCAAATTCTGCAGTCTTCAGTATTTCTTTTTGGTACAAATCTTCAAGTCTTCTTTAGACGTGTTAGAATGCCATTCCCTCAATGACAGGCTCCGATCCCGAGAATCATTGTTTAAATCACAAAACCAGATGAACTCCCCCTGACCACTATTGCAACATTTGCTTTGCCTTTTCTTGCATCTTCCCACTATCGGAATTTTGCTATGTCTGTGTAAACATTCATTATTTGATATATAGTACTAGAATAGGATAAGATAACAATGACAATAAATTAGTAGCGTTCATTCGGTCAATTATTGACCTTCAATTTTTAGCTTTTGAAGTGCAAAAATGAGAGCCATTCAACTAGCATAGGATCCTAATCTTCCCCTCCACGTGATTTGTCGCTTTACACCGTATGACTCCATGAACTAATATTACAAAAGAATTTACAGAGAACCTTCCCAATCTTAACATGAGTCCGAGGTGGGTGGAGGGTCATTTGCACATAAACTTATGCATGTCGCTTAAGAATATTTTTTTAGCATAATGCCTCTGTAATATATTTATTTATTTATTTACATTATTATCACACTCCTCTATCTTTTATGATAACAAAGAAGGAGAGAGAAATTTAATTTCAATGCCTTTCTCGTCCTTTTTTTTTTTTTACCAGAAAAGAGTATAGAGTAAGTGTACAAAAAATAATAAACTAAGGTGTAAAAATAGCATTGCCATTTTTTTTTATCTCGAGACTATTTTTAATAAATTACTTTCTCTACTTTAAAATTGCTTTTATTAACATCCTCTCTTTGCTTGTTTGGAAAGCTTTCAAAATGTAAGGATGTTTTTGTCAAATTTTAAATAAAAATTAGAAATTTTTTAAAACCTGACTTTTTTGAAAAAAATTGTACCATATAATCGTAAACATAAAAAAGAAATATCTAAAAAATTTGTAGACTTTACCACTGTAGTTGTTGGCGCACTGAATGTTGAAGAAAAAGTTAATTAATTGAGATGTGGGACACTATATGTAAGACCCTGAACTCTAAAAAGAGAAAGATGACAGCAGACTATGAAAGTAATTGGGCCTAAAACTAGATGACCAAGTGGGGCTTTGGTCTCAGTCAATCAACAATAAGAAGCATCTGTGGGTCGCATCTGCCTACCCCGTTTGAAAAGGATTTCACTCCTCCTTTGCATTTTGAAATTCTCTCTCACACACGTATTTAGATGCTTGGCTTACCTTGGATTTTTGACCTAGATTTTCTCATTCTTGCGCATGGTCATGAACAGTGGCACACATAGGTACTCAAAGTTACAGGAATTAAACTAGTTCACTTCTGTACATTTACATAAATCAATAGATAGATGGAGTACTTTTACCTAATAACAGATAAGGAAACGTGTCTTTTATGCATTATCAAACGAATTTGAGAACCACGCAGCAGACAAAGTCAATTCAATTTGACGTCATCAGCTACCTCAACAGAAATAGAATCTCTTCTTGCAAAGAGACACAATGAAACGAAACTAACACAAACTAAAATTTAGAAGATCAAGCATGCAATTGCAAGCAAATTAAGAAGTCATTTTTATTTGTTTATTCTGCCCTTTATACAAATACCCTAATCTCTAAACTCCTGAATTAAGCTCCTAGCTAGATTAACTGAGAATAAAAACGACTTGAACTTGAAAATAAAAATTAAAAAAGTTACACATTACACAACAGAACTAAGTGCTAGCTAGCTAGCTCGAATTAATTAACTAGCTAAGGGTGGTGATGGATGGTTATTAATTTCCCACCTCAACGATCAATTAGCCCTTTCAACATGGCGTATAAACACAGTTTCTAAGTCCGGTGGAGTGAAGAACTCTCTAGCTCCACCACGATAGTTGCATTTCAAAGAAGGTTTTCGCTTCCTAGGAGCTGGCGGGCACTTCAACGAGGTCTGAATCCTTGCTTCTTCCCCTTTTGGCGTCGTTGAACACTCTTCCATGTCACCTTCTTCTTGTTCTCCTTTCTCCACCGGAGTGGTATATATTGGCTTCAATGGAGCTCGTAAAGCGATTCCAGCAATGACCCATTTTCTACTATCTGACTCTTCCACTTGTGGCTTCTCAGAGAACCCCATATTTAACCCCTAAAAAGTGTTTCAGGGAACTATATGTATTTGTATGAATAGCAGGGAATAAGGGAATAAAGATGATTTCTTTTCTTTTCTCCCCTTATTCGTGTTCGCTACTCTTTCGGGTGTAAACTGGGAGAGGAATCAGATGAAACCAGTAGGAAAGTGTTGACTGGGGAAAAGAGACTAGATGAGGAATAAAGAGAAAAATTATGAAAAGTTTGCACTGAGAAATATGAAGAAGCAAATTAAAGAAAAAGGAGCTTTGGTTGAGGTTCAATGGAAGTGTTTCTTTAAAGCTTGTTGAAGAGTGAGGGGACAAAGGAAAAGCGATGTAGAAGAGTTTAGAGACTTTTATAGGGCTTTTGGTGCGCGTACGTGTAAAATGATTACAAGGGGTTTAGGTATATGGAAAATATTCGAAAAATGATACCCACACTCAGTAGTAAATATTGCTATGGTTCTAATAAAAAAGAGCTGAGAATAAAATGAGATTAACTCTAATTAAATAGCAAAAATTGTATCGACTTTTAGTGTGATGCATTTTCTAAACTCATGAGAATCTAAAGATGGCTTGCATGAAGTTTAAGTAACAACGTGAAGTATAAATTTCATATATTTTTTTTTAACGAATATACACTCAAGTATTTTTATACTTTAAGATACTGGTTAGCAACGTACTATAAAGTACAAATTTGTTAAAAATCTCGTACTGTAAAATACTTTATTGCTAAATAATTATACGTATTATTGTCATTGTATTGTTACGACTTCCTAAATTATGATGTAATGAATTGTCAGACAATGTTATTATTATATTTATTAATTTTACGTGTAAAGTTTAAAATATTTTTTGAACTACTTAAGATGATAAAATGCAAAGACATAAAAGCATTACATTTGTATACATAAATAAATTATTCCTTATCCTCTAAAGCTTTCAATCCTTTTTTCTTTCTAAAAAATAAAATCACTCCTTTTCAACTTATTTTCTCATTTTTTTACTTAACTCCCTTAAATTTTGAATTAACGTGAAAACAATAAATATTATTGAAATGTAATTAATAAGTCCAAAAGTATAATTAAATTAAGCAAACAATAAGAGGATTTTGCATTATTTTTATTTTAACCCGAATTTCGAGCGAGTTTAATAATTCAAAAGAAAAAAAATAGAAAGGTATTTTGACAAAGTGTAAAATTAAAGGAGATCACGCAACTTACCATATACATTCACAAATATTAAGGTTCAAAAAAATGAGAAAGCACTAATAGAGTGAGCCTTGAAATTTTACTATAAAAAAAGTTCATTAAATTACTTTATTGGGTAGCACAGTCCATACTATTATTAGCAATTCCCAAAACAAATTATCGTTTGTGAGGTTACATGTTTACCTACAACCTCCGATATTCTTATAACCCATTTGGCAACGGCTTCAGTATCTAAATTCGTGTTTAAAATTGTAAAAATAATATTTAAAAATTATCAAATTTAATTTTAATTTATTATAATTATATTTACTTTTAAAGATAAGCACAAGTAGTAATTAAAAATATATATCTTTTATGATGAATTAATTTTTTATTAAATTTTATTGCAAGTATTTTATTATTAAGTATTTTTGAAGTATTTGTTAGCATTTTTATCATAAATATATTTTTAAAATGTTTTTTATTTGTGCACCAATAATAAATTAATATATAATAAATTTTTATTAAAATATAGGTGTTAATGTTATTAATACATTAAATTCAATAATGTCACAGAATATTTAATAAAAAATTATTATCTATATATTCTTATTATACCCTTAAACACGTGTTAAAAATTATTTAAATTTTTTTTTACTAATTAGTACTCTAAGAGTGTTGGTTAAGAAAGTAAAAATTATTATATTTTATTAAAAACTATATAAAAAATATATTTTAGACAAGAATATTTAAATATAATATTTATTTAATTTTTAAACATCGATATTTTATTAAAGATAAAATATAAGTATAATATTACTCCAACTCATTACATCTCTTAAATACAAATTATTTTTTTAATTTTAGAACCATCAATCTTAAGATTGATTTAAAATATTTATAATTTTTATTTTTATTAAAAATAAAAAATATTTATTATATTCAAAGTATAATACATATTTTTAAGAAATATTAACTTTAATCCTAAATTAAACAAATAAAAATAGAAAAATAATGAAAAAGTTATTTATTTTTATTGAGAATGTAATAGTATAATAAATATTAATATTTAATAAACTTTACTATTTTTAAATACTTGGAATCAATCTTAAATACTAAATTTAACTAAATCGTTAAAAATATATTAATTTTAGATATTTTAAATCAGTTATATGGACTTGTGTGGATTTCTTTTAATTAAACTCAAGTTTTAATTTGCTTAACCAAAGGTAAATACCTTTTTTTTATTTTTTTCCCTCTTTGACACTTTAATAATTTTATTTATTTGTTATTTTATAAAATTGATAAAATATAATAATTATATAAAATTTTAATTAATATAACAAATAATTAATATATATAATATTTAAAATCTGAATTAATTTCTAAATTTTTACATAAAACTTTAAACATTATTAAACATTTTAATTAATAAACACCACCCGACATTTGCATAGCAAATTAGGAATTGGAAAGACAAAGATACGTTATAAACGTCGAAGAGACCGGCATTCAATGCTTGAATGTTAAATCAACAAAGAAGTTAGTGTTTTTTTGGATTAATAAAAGGGAAAAAAAAGTAAATTATTAACATAAGTTTTTAAAAATAATTTTAAGCATGAGTCTAAAATTAATAAAAATTATTTAAAAAATCCTTATTTCAATTTTAAAATTTAATTTTAAGTAATTAAAAGTGATAAATTTTAAAAAAATAATTTTCAACCTTTTATAAGAATATTTTATCTTTTTTTTTTCAAGATTTTAAGGGTATTTTTGTTTTTTCTGTATTTATCCTTCATTATTTAATCTTTTTTAACATTATAATAATCAATATTAAAAATTGCATTAATTTTAATATTTAAATTTGTATTTAAACAACTAAATAAATAAAATTTATTAAAAAATATTTATTACACATTTACAATTTTGATATAATAAATATGTTATTTTTTAATATAATAATTTTTATGTTTAAATTCAATTTAAAGATTAAAATGAATACAAATTTTAATATAAAATATAGTTTGACTAGCAGTGATATGTTATTAATTGTTGTGTATTTTTTAATAACGTGTGTGGTCTAATTTAAAAAAATAAATAAAGAAACGAAATTTATTTATTATATTAAAAAAAAGAGGCTTGAGAGGTGAGAAAGAAATGTGGGTGCCCGTGATCACAATAGCTGACCGTCGGGCAGGACATGATGGAGAGTGATTGGGTTTTGGCGCAAGTTTTGGGGTTATTGGGATCACCAATTATATAATCCCATGTTATTCTCCCTATGCTTTTAAAAGTCTCATTCCAAATACAAACCACTTTTCTTTTCTCTATAATTTCGGGCCCCTCCTTTTTGAATACGTGCTCTTCATTTTGAAAATCCAATCAAACGTTTTACGAAGAATTTCCACATGCAACCAAAACCTTTTATTACTGATTCATCTTTCTACATCTTCTTTCTATATATTTTTGACCTATTTGCTACAACCATTTCATTTTCAAACTATACAATTAAGGACTGATCATGCATAGTTATAATTTTTATATTAAATTTATACTTGTAAATTTTTTAATACATATGTAAATAATAGACTTTAAATCTAAACACCTACTTTGAGTCCCTCATAAAGGAGCAACGAGTTTCATAAGATTAATTTCATGTGAGTAGTTAAAAGTAACTACAAAATTGGACTACTATGACCTGTTTGGCTGTTTCTGAATTACTGGCATGGCATTCCTCACTCTGTAAATGCTACTCTCTCAATCATGGTGCCTTTTTCAGGTACTATCCCTACGCTTCGCCAATTGCAATCACTTGAGGGAGCAATGCCGCCGTACAAGGAAGAGTTTGAAGCAGCACCTGAGTTGGACTTGTAAAAGTATCATTACTTAAATCAAATTTAAAACTAGCATTTCATATATAAGATATAGATAAATATTAATAATATAGTTTTTAGTATAAAGTTTTAATATTTATTATTAAATAATATTTATTTAAATTAAAAGATTATAAGTGGTATACATTCAATAAAAAAAAAAATCTATTTTATAAGTTTTAATGAATTTATCATGAGTTAAGAAGTGTGTGCTATTAATATTAACTAGAGTTATATTTCAAGTGATTATTTCATCATTAAAAAATGTGTGCTTTTTATGCAGAATTACCAATATCCAAATGTGTTACTAGATCAGGGAGGGAATATTGTTTGTATTTAAAAAAAAAAAAAAGTTAAACATTTAACTTAATTATATATGTTGTCTCTATAGTTTAGTGTTTGTGATTTTATTCTCTTAATTTTAGTTCTCATATTTTTTAGTTGTTTTTAAATTTTTTCACTCATCTTAAAATTTATTTAATAATAAAACTATAATATATCATTGATTTATATAAATTAAAAAATAATTTTTTAATTGATGTTTAAAAACACATAATAAAAATCTATATATAACAAATTTTAAAAAAAAACTACATGATCCAACACATTCAAAATCATAATATCATTAAATACTATAACTTTAAATGTAATTTTATTATTTATTTTTTTATCACATGTTTTTTCATATATATAAAAAAAATCATAAAACATATATTGTAGATAATAATACAAATATTTAATCTGTGTTTTAATAAGTATTGTTTAGCATGTATGTGTACAGAGTAACCAAACTAAGTTGTTTAAAATATATTACTTGGATATCAAATGTTAAAATCTTTTAAAATAATGATAATTTTATAATTTTTTATTGAAATAATAAGATTTAAAATAAAATACTCACTGCAATACTCGGTAAATTTAAAAAAGATGGTGTATATTTTTAAAAATTAATAGTTATAATTCTTCTTGTATTTTAAAAATTACCTTAAAATAATACCTCAAAAAAGATGTTCGAGTTCTCTCTTCCTGGATATTGAATATGCCATTGCCTTCTTCTCTTTTCCTCTTTTTGGCTCTTTCTGTCAAAATTACCATATTTTCTTGCTAGAATATCTCCAGTTTTAGTTCTACGTACTGTTAGCTCCACACGTGCATTTCGAAAGTTGGCGAAGAACTAAACAGTATAATTGAACTATCGTCTCTAAAAACCCTAGTCCCTAGCTTTGGATAGTGAGATTTCGAAATTTCTTGGATTATATTTGATTCAAAATTTTCCGATTTCACGTTCAGCTTTTGCAGAATATATACTTTATATTTGGTGACAAATTATTCTATAATTGGAAAACACAT